GAAGGAGCTGGAGGTATTTTGTGTGTAAATTCAGGAGTCTAGCTACTTATAATGAATACCTCTTTGGAGAATAAGCTAAAGTAGCTAAAATTAGTCAAAAGTAAAAAAAAAAAAGTAAATTATCAACAGATAATAAACTGGATATACTCATGGAGCATAATCAAAGTGTTATGTTGAAAACCAAATAGACATTTACCTTGTAAATTCAGAGGGTTTTTTTGTACTCTCTTTGCTTGTGTAGGGTGACTGTTGAATATTTCTGAAACAAAGGCTTGTATTTATATATGTATGAGCAGTAAAAAGAGCAGTCACCTGTTTATCAGAGACTGATGAAGGGAAAAAATAATGGTTAACTCTTAGAGTGTTGACTGACATGGTTTTGAGATGTGATCATTCTCTTTTTGCTGTGAACTCTTCCTTTAAACAGGATAAGAGTCTGCAGGTTTTTATTTCAACCAAAGACTAAACAAGATGACTTCACTGATCAGCTCCTCCAATATGGCTGAGGGTACACTTTTCTTTCGCTGTTAATTACAATGCATTTGGTAGGAAGGTGTTCAAATTTCCTGAAATTTTAAAATACAACATGCTAGTTCAGATTATGTTAAAAAAAAAAAAAAAGTGATATTTTAGGCAATGTTAGCAGCACGGCTCTACGCTTTGGTCTAGACTGAAATATCTGAATAACTATTGGATGGATTTCCATTGAATTTTGTACAGACATTCGTAGCTCCAGGGGATGATGCCTACCAACTTTCTTGATGCTCTGATTTTTCATTTACGTCCACCATCAGGTCAAAATTTCAGTTTGCCCAGCACTTTTATTGACACGTTATGACCAGATACCTGCAAAACAAATGATCCTCATTTGTATATTTGTGTTTTGTGCTAATTAAGAATTGTTATTACCTGCTAAATGTCAGCATGTTAGCATTTGACTGACATTACACAGGTTCAAGATGGCGCCGATGTCTATGTCTATGGCCTGCCGTCTGTCTCTGCGTACTTTGTTTGTATTTACGTTATTTTTGTCAATCATTATTGCAAATGTCAACTCTCTTCTGGTTTATGACCGCCAAGTTCTCTTAGACCTCCGACCCTTGATTAAAAACTTGGTGCCATTTGAGCATGATGGCCAAAAAACCCACTGTCCTCCGTTTCTTACAGGAATACCAGCTCACCTTTGCCGTGTGTCAGTTCTGCGGTGGTGGGCTTGTGAAACTAAGGACCCGGTTGCTGTCTCCCACCATGACTTTGCCTGGAACCTGGTTGGGATTTCGTCGCCTCGCGCCGTGGCATTCTGCGGACCCGATCGGCTCCTGTTTGGTTCCAGTGGCTGGCTTGGATGTGGGGTTCTCTGCTCGTCGTGTTCAGGCTCCTCACCTCCGCTGGCGTGGGGTGAATCAGCAAAATCTCCGGCCGCTTGCTCGGACTACACTGGCTGCAAAAGCCCCGGATCCAGCTAGGTTTGCCCTGGTGAATGCTAGATCGCTAGCAAACAAAACTTTCATCTTGAAGGACTTCTTTGAGTCACGTGATCTGGATTTTCTTTGTGTAACAGAAACGTGGATTCCGGTGGGTGACTCGAGTGCTTTTTGTGAACTTTTACCGCTTGACTGTTCGTATTTTAAGTCTCCGAGGACGTCAGGTCGTGGATGAGGACTGGCAACAGTCTATAAATCAAACTTTAAGTGTAAACAGCTTGAACTCACTGTATCTTTCGCCACTTTTTAAGTTAACCTGTTTGAACTGAGCAGTGTATCTCCAGTGCTGTGTGCACTCGTATATAGGCCACCTAAGTATTTCATCACTGACTTTTCCCAATTTTTGGCCAAGTTTGTGCCAAGGTATGACAACCTCCTTATTGTAGGGGACTTTAACATCCATGTGTGCTGTCCTGAAAAGCCAATGGCAAGAACCTTTCTAAATGTCGTTGAGTGTTTTGATCTTGTACAATGTGTATCTGTCCCCACACAGGAACGTGGACACACTCTTGATCTGGTTTTAACTCATGGCTTAACTGTTTCTAATGTTGAAGTCTGTGATGCTTTTTTCTCTGATCATATGCCTGTTGTATTTGAAATTTCCCACCCTTGTACTGTAGTTAAACCATGTGCTCCTGTGCGCCGTGGTCGGATAGTTAACCCTTCCACTGCTGCTCAATTTTCCTCTGTTTTTAATCTAAATTGTGTCTCTCTCTGTCCAAATACAACTGTTGAAGATCTGTGTGTTAGTTTTAATGCTGCTTGTCAAGCAGCATTGGACACTGTAGCCCCCGTAAAAACCAGATTGTCTAAACCAAGAACTGATCCCTGGCTGAACGTCAATGTCAATGTCAATCGCGAGTGTAGAAGGGCAGAAAGAATGTGGAAGAGGGATAAACTCCAAGTGTCATTTCAGTTACTTAGAGAGAGATGGTGTTCTTATCAAAAAAATGTAAAAGCTGGAAAGATTAAGTACTTATCTAAAATGATTTCTTCCAATGGTCACAACCCTCGAGTTCTTTTTAATACTCTCAAAACTATTCTTAATGTCCCACAACTCCAGTGGTTGGAGAACCCAACAAAAATGTGTGAGGAGTTCCTTCATTTTTTTATCCATAAGGTGGTGAGCATTAGGACCCTTATTGGTCCACCTTTGAATGACCATGGCATTTCTGTAACTTGTTCTACTGTTTTGAATCAGTTTGAGCCTGTTAGTTTGCCTGTTTCAGAACAAATTATTGGTCAAATGAAGATCACTGGGTCCCCCAATGATGTGATTCCCCCTCGTCTTTTTAAAGAGGTTGTTTCAACAGTGACGCCCTGCATACTTGATATTATTAATGTCAGTCTAATTACTGGAGTCGTGCCTATGAGTTTTAAACATGCAGTTGTTCAACCCTTGTTAAAGAAACCTGGTCTGGACCGACTTGAGCTCTCAAATTATCTGCCTATTTCTAAGCTCCCTCTGCTTTCCAAAATTATGGAGAAAGTTGTTTATTTGCAGCTGAGCACATTTTTAAATGACAATCGTATAACTGAAATTTTTCAGTCTGGGTTTAAGTCAGCCCACATCACTGAGACAGCTCTGCTGAGGGTTCTCAATGACATTTTTTTGGCTTTAGACTCTGGTGATACTGTTGCTCTGCTGCTATTGGACCTTACGGCTGCGTTCAATACGGTCGACCACCAAATTTTATTGTCTCGGCTTGAAAATTGTGTGGGCATTAAGGGGTTGGCCTTAGCCTGGATTACGTCATATTTGGAAGACAGGAGTTTCTCAGTTCAGGTTAATGATGCTGTGTCATCTCCGGCTCCTCTGTTGTGCGGAGTTCCTCAAGGGTCTGTCCTTGGGCCGTTACTTTTTTCAATATACTTACTGCCTCTTGGGTCAATCCTCAGAAGATACAATGTATCGTTCCATCTTTATGCTGATGACTGTCAAATTTATGTGCCGCTAAGTCATTCAAAAACCCTTTTAGAGTGTCTGAATGAAGTGAAAGCATGGATGGCTATGAATTTTTCGTATTTAAATGAGAGTAAAACTGAGCTCATGTTACTTACTCCGAATGACTCAGCTGTTGCGGGTTCTGTTGATCTGGGTTGGCTAACCCGAGATATTAGCTCTGTGGTCACAAATCTGGGAGTCAAGCTGGACGGTCGTAAAACTTGATGCCCAGATTGGTGCAGTGGTTAAAACCAGTTTTTTTCCAGCTGAGGCAACTGGCCAAAGTAAAACCGTTTTTATCTCGACATGATTTTGAGATTTTAATCCATGCTTTTATCATCACCCGTTTAGATTATTGTAATGCACTCTATAGTGGTCTTAGCAAATCACTTATGGCACGATTACAACTAGTTCAAAATGCAGCTGCTCGTCTTTTAACTGGAACTCGAAAATTTGCCCATATTTCACCCATTCTCCAATCCTTACACTGGCTTCCAGTGCAAAGTTTAAAATTATTTTATTTGTTTTTAATTGCGTGCATGGCTTGGCCCCCCAGTATTTGTCTGATCTGCTTGTGCCCTACAGTCCATCTCGTGCGCTCCGATCGGCTGATCAGGCACTGCTGGTAGTCTCTAAATCTAAACGTAAATCTAGAGGTGACCGTGTGTTTGCTGTGGCAGCTCCGAGACTCTGGAATGAGCTGCCTCTACATATTAGACTTACTGAGTAATTTTCTGTTTTTAAATCTCGTCTTAAAACTCATTTATTTTCTTTGGCTTTTAATACAATTTGAGGGTTGTCCTTTCAGTTTTGTATTATTGTATTTATTTTTTGTGATTTATTGTTTTATTAATTTTCTTTGTTGTGCCTTTATTGTATGTTTTGTATTTGTAGACTGTGTTCAGCACTTTGGTCAACAGTGTTGTTTTTAAAGGTGCTATATAAATAAAGGGGGATTGGATTGGATTGGATTTGCCTCAAACCACCTCTGCACCTATGTACTGCTTCACAGAGCCCTAGTTTTGTAGTTTTGCCCTTGTTTTAAATGATGCATAATCAATTTCAAACTATTAAACATGTAATTTAAAATCATTTTTGCTAATAAATCTCATAAATCTCTACAGTCTTTCTGCTGCCTGGCATTGTTAATGGGCCTCTTACTTGTGATATACTGTATTGACAGGTGTGCTGTATGCAAAGTGCAAATTATTTTGACATGAAATATGCAAGCTTGTCTGCCACAGTCAGTGATGTTCAGCAGCACAAGGGATGTACCAACAAACAACAAGCCTGCAGGGGTGTTTAAATCATCTTTTTCTTTAACGCTTCTCCTCTTTGATCACAATATTCTTGTAAACAACAAAAATTGCGTTATTTTCATACTGCCGTGATGCCTTCAGTTATTTAGCAGCTGAATATAAAAGTTGATTGACAGGTCACAGAGGGGACTTATTGTCTTAACCTAATTTCCTTGTGTTTGTCGTTCACAGCTCCACTTACACAGGTGGGGGCCTGTCAGAAATAAGCCAGTGACAACAAAGAAAACAATAACATTTATTTATTGACTCATAGGTTATACATTTCATGATATAATAGCGATATATTATTATTGGCAAAGATACTATAATCCAATTGCATTTCTATACATAAATACAAAATCTGAGGTAGGGCCTCAAAGATTGGTGACAATGAAAATAAATAAATGCATTTCACATATATATGATATATATTTTCTTTTTTCTATTTCTTATTTTTTTAACATCTCACACCAATTTTAAAACATATTTGTTATATATCTACTCTCTATTTTCAAATCAAAAGATGTCATGGACTGTTGGAGGCACATATCTATATCCATAGGCAGCAGTACCTCACATAGAACACACAGAAATATATGACATTACTCAAGTAATTAGAAATTTAACCTATGCATTCATAGGTCAGACAATAAAGTGCCAAAAAAGACACAACAGACATAACAATAGGAATACTGATACCATATGAGACAGACGATAAGCTATTCTGTGATGTTATTTTTGAATTACAATATTATACCATTAGAGGACATCTATAAGGCCAATGGTTACCTGAAGATGTTTTGTAACGTATTGGCAAACATCGAGGAACACTACATGGCATATGAATGGCAGTATCTCAACCTCCTATACGCAGATGACACATTCCTTTTTTCATCTAAAGTTTGTTTTCACCATAGTTAAAGTACTCTTTCTTTGGTTACCTATACTGCCCAAAGTTGTCTTGCAGGCAAAGCGAATTGACAGTTACTTTTTCAGTTTTTTTCTTCTTCCTCTGTAAGAAGGACAACAGCAACCCTCTGTTTCTTAACTTTATGTAAAACAAAAAGCTCCCTAAAGTAAACATGCACGGACTTATACTATTGAGAGAGAGAAAGGACAAAGATTACTATACATGGACATTGAGTTACAGCAACACAAACTGCACATGCAAGCTCTTCAGTGTTATATTTTATGAAGCAATGTGGTTTTAACTGAACCCTAAGACAATTTTTTTCCTGAAAACAAAAGCAGAGAAATCCAGTATAAATGTAAACAGGGAGACACAAAATGTATAGCTATTTTGCTGTGACCCTGAAAAAAGTCTAAATCTATCTCAGGGCATAAAAGGCTTTTACCATTTAAGTCCTACTTTAAAAGCATACTGTCCACTACATTATATGATTACTCATGATTTGAAATGCCAATCTGCTTCTTTGGCAACCTCTGCTCTCAAGCAAGTGGTTGCCATAGTTTGTTTTACCCAGCTCAAGTTCAAAATTGGTGGTCTAAGATCCTCACGTCCATTAGAAAAGAGAAAGAGGCAAATCAGGCTGAGGCATCCTAGGGAAAAAAAGTCTTGTCAATCTCCTCTGCTTCTTTCAGCGATCCACTCCATGCAAACATCTGATTGACATTTAAGTAGAGTTCAGTAAAACTACAGTGACAAGCACACACACACCAGCATACAGACATTCAATATTGTTTGAACAAATAGAGCTAAATGCACTAAGTCGTAACAAAAGCAACACTGCTAATTAATGGATTATATTTGTTTTCAAACCGTACAACCTCTTAAATCATATCTGTGCTATTTTCATGTCAAGATTATGAAAAGACATGGCTTAGAGAAATAGTCAGGGAGACCCTTACACCTCTGAGCAACTGTTCCATATTTATCCATACTTGCAGCCTCCATTTAAAACACTTATGCCACTCAACAAGTCAATACCTGCAGTGTTAAAAGCGTAATAAAATCAATTAGGACTTGTGTCACCATGAAAATGCATATCCAACTGGTCAAAGCATGGAAAGGACTAATTGCTTTGTAGGTAACTGGTTGACAGCCCACACAGTCAAGGTTGGCTGCCTGTCATGTTACATTTAAAGAGGCTGCATAGCCAGTCAGACGTCTGCAGAGCTGCACTGGACTCTTCCTTCAGGCTGCTATGGTGTTACACCTGGAGATGATGTTTATGCCTTTTAAGAAAAACACTCTCACAGTAGCCCATTTGTGCTGAAGATGTCTGAACAGCACACCGTAAAAGGGAAACATGTTCTATATTATATCATTTGACTGAAAGAGATTAATTTTCTGCTTATGCAAATAAAACTGTTTTGACGGTCAACAAAGAGCCAATTAAATTTCAAGTTGATTACAAAAAAATATATTTTTTAAATTAATCTTAACTAATTGTTTTCCATCTATGTTATAAACATGACGAAAAGCACGATACTATATTAAGCACTTAAGTCACTCATATGTCTTGTATAATCATCACAAGGTGCATTTAAGCAACAACAAGCAGAAAGGAAAGTGATGCTGCATTGAGGTCATCAGGAAGTATTTTGATTCTAATCCTTTGCAAAATTGCTTCAAATATAGTTTATCATTAGGATGGCTCTAATATCTGTTTCCTATGCACTGAATGCTATTATTCCTACAACTACTGGAGTAGTCTGATGGAATTGAGTATACCTGAGACCCTGTTTTCACGAGGACACACAGAGAAGCAAGAGGCATAAGTTTGAAATGGCAAAGAGGTCTCCGGAGGTCTACCACAAACAACAAGAGACAAAGTACACTTTCCAGGAAAGAAGGAGGCGATTTTCTACTCTAATCTTCCTCTACTCACACACAGCAGCTGCTCCTAACATTATGAGGCCACGACAACACACACACTTACTACTGGAAGATTTTTTTAAAGAAGTGTACACTTTGTACAAGATATTACACCGCTAGCAAGAGAAATATGGGGTTCAGAGAGACATATACACACGCACACATTCTCAATCTCTGTCTTGTTAGCTCTCTCCTCTGCTGGAGGCTATATATATGTATATACATATATATATTTATATATATATATATGATATATATCTTGATATATTTCATACTGATGTGATTTACATTGTAAAGATGGTTTTCACAGATGGTTTGACAAGTTCACATACAACACATAAAGCGATAAATACACTGTCTAAAATATATGCACAGAGTGACCTAAAAAGGTTAAATGGCCATGTTATCAGCTACTGAAGGAAGGACAGACTACTCTAGTGGTTTCCTACATTAAGAATGTGCCTCTTTACATTCTAGGATAATACAATAGAGGAGAACAGGAATACGACTTAATAAATAGACAAAGAGAGAGGGTATCACAAAGGGTCCCTCAGATTCACAGAGAAAAAAAGACCCAAGCTTCTATCATACTGCAGAGTCATCCAGGCCAAACTGTATCTACTTAAAGTGGTAATCAGGATGCATTCGCTACTCTACTGGGACGTAGGAGGCACAAATTGCAGATCTTGTAATCTATTTTTAACAAAGCAAGAGCAACTGAGCAATAGCTATTGTGAATATACATCTATAGTGCTGGATAGCAACGAAATGTGATAACAGTGCATACTGTGTTTCTTTTTCTTTTTTTTTTTTTCCTTGAGGCAGTTAATATTATTTGTACTGCCGATGGAATTTTGTACACAGATGGAACAAAACACAGATCCCCGTCGAGCTTGTTGAACCGTTGTTTCTCTGTCGCTCAATTTTCTTTTTGTTTCCCTGTGTCTGCTTGCACCAAGATGATTCATTATCTCTACACACAAATATGTTGGGACACGCACACACAAACACACAAACATACACACACAACTCCATAGGGAGCAGCTACAGAGAGTCTAATATTGCAAGTGCAGTCTGAGCTGTGTCATTTAATGACACAATTTTTCTCTTGGAATAAAGATCCCTGGGAAGGGTTCTGGAGTAATCAGTGGTCATGTGTGGGAGGCAATGATAGCTCATTAACCGAGTACAAAGCAGCAGCGGAGGAGTAGACTCCACCTGGGCAGCCACTCCTCCCTGACAGAAGAGAATAAGTGGTGAAGAAGAGAAGGAAGAGGAAAGGCAGCCTGTTTCCACATCCATGATATAAGAAGGAATACAGGAAGCAAAGAGGGTGAAGTACAGACAGGAGAAAGAGAGAGAGAGGTGAAAGGGAGAAAAAGAGGTGGAGGTCACCCCCCTCCCGGTGCCCCCTGCAGGGGTTTTAGGTGGTGGGTGTGAGGCTGTCAGGAAGACCGCTATTGGTAGGAACCGAGCTGGAAGTCCTTGGGGGGCAGCTTGAGGCCCAGGGAGTTGGTTCCCAGAGGGTCCATCATGTTCTTGTAGCGTTCTCCACGGTGTTTCATCAGGAAAGGACCCCAGTCAGGCTGAGGGGAGCAGACCAGCTTCAGACGCTACAACAGGAGAAGAAACAGTAGCTTGATTGTTATAGAATTTTTAGCAGTGTGCATACCACAGTATATTTTGTGATACAACCACTAAGGGTATATGAATTGAACTTAAGAAAAGGGAAGCAAAAGGGTAGTGTAAACAATATGTGATACAGAACAAAACATACGTGACAATGTCTGGTCATGGCTTTGTCTCATTTATTACCTCGATGAAGGTGCCGGGGGCAAGGTGCATTTTAATGACGAACATGATGGGGATCCAGATGACAGAGCAAATGACCATGAGCCAGCCCATAACCATGGACCAGGTAGGGTAGGTGTAGTCCTCATATGTCATCACTTTCCACTGGTACAGACTCAGTCCCAGGATACCCTGCACAGATCAGGGAACCCAGGAAATGTGTGTTATATGAGATGCCATCTCTCTTACCTTCAAGAACTACTGCCCCAGTGTCCTTGAGCAAGTCATTTAAGCTTCTGATCCACTGCTCAGCAGCCACAAATGTAAGGCTGTGGTTGTCCTGGTTAGCTCCACAGAAAACCCCTCACCTTTCAAAAGAAGTAGATAATTTATCACCTGTAAAATGTGTTTCCTGCTGCAAGAGGACACGGTTTACTGCTGTTTCGAGTAAACAATGTTCTAATAACGAGGTGTGTTTGCTGTAACTTGACTTAAAGGTGAATGTGTAAAACAACCTGTACAGCTAAAGAGCAAAATCTTTGCATGGTGTGCTGTAAGTTTGCGACACAACCTGCAATTCTATGATTTTGAAGATTAAAAGTAAAAGTAAAAATGTAATTGAAATTGCTAGTTTCCTTTTGAAAACAATTAAAGCATTTACAATTGGCATTTTCTTCCCAGACACAACTTGTAAGTTTTCAATTTAAATTTGTTAAATTTCAGTTTACTTATTTAAAATCGATGCTGCACATTAATGAAAGTCAGTGACGTAAATATGCCAGATTTAGCCAGAATCATACTGTAATCTGTGCAAGATGCTATGCTCATGTTATGTTATTGAAGTGCTGTTTATGTAGTAAAGTGCACTTACACTTCACTTACAAGATGTGTCTGTCACTGTCAAGTTGCAGAGAGAGCAGTTCTGGAATCCAGCCACCATACATTGCCTTTGAAATTTGTGAAGGTGATCCCTATGCTGTGTAATACTTACTGGTCATGTTGTATGGACTAGTGTTGTAGTCAAGACCACCCAAACCGAGACCAAGACCGGAGTTTATCCGAGACTGAGACAATACCAAGACTTTTAGGGGCTGACAGCAGTCGAGACCAAGACCAAGGGAGGGTGAGACCAAGTCAAGACTAAGACCAGTTCCCTGCATTGCATGGCATGCAATAAAATGTGGAACGAGATCATAGGTAGTTCTCTGATTGATCTGAAAGATCCACATTCCCATTAAAACACCCACATACAAACCCTAAGAGCGGAAATCAGCGTAAGCATCGCAGGGAGGGGTGACAGTCATTAATTAGGGTTATTGGTTGCATTTGAAGCAATATGTTTTACTTCCAATGAAAGTTAGGATCAGACAATGCAAAAGCAATTTATTGATTTTCCCAAAGTTATGGTCTTAACCGGTCTTGAAATAAAATCCAGAGTCCTCAATGTCCGAGACCGAGACAAGACTGAGTACAAATGCAGTCGAGACCGAGACAAGACCAAGACCACCAAAAAGTGGTCTTAAGACCAAGACCGGTCTCGAGTACTACAACACTAGTATGGACTATACTACTACTAGACACACAGTTAAATCTCCAGTTCAATATAAAAAATGGCAGAAAAATCCCAAATCCTGGGAAACACATCACTCTACAATTCATCCAAAGCTAGTGGATGGCATGATGGATGACAGTGAAGATGAGACCTTACTTTTTACTACATGAATAAATGGACAGTGCCTACCTCAAATATACTTTGGCTGAAAATCATTAGAACAGGAAAAAGAAAAGAAAAACAAACATAAAAAAGGCAGACAGAAATAGATTAGCCTGCGGTTGTGCATCAATGAGCTCCCCGGGGAAATCTGATCTCCCTCGAGAGCAGCAAGAGGCTGCTCTATTTATCATCGTCACCTATGCTTTGGAGATACAGTGGTTTCCAGTTACTAACATTAAGGCTGGCAAACCTTGTGCACTGAAATTTACAGCTTCAGCTACACAGTATATGACAAATAACTGGCCATTTTACAGAAAACGGGTTCTCAGGAAATAAATGTAGCAGCAGCTAAACTGACGTCACACAAATTTGGCAGTTACTATTTTCAAAAACAAAAACAACTTGAGACTTGATGACATGACAGGAATTTGAAGGAAGAAATAATTTTCGATTTCCGTGTAACAAGAGCAATTTCTCCGCTGTTCCTTTCCAATTGCAAATCAATGAACTTGGAAGATGGCAGTGAAAATGGAAACATTTTAAGCTGCACATGTCAATGTTTGTGTGTGTGTGTGTGTGTGTGTGTGTGTGTGTGTGTGTGTGTGTGTGCGCGCGTGTGTGTGTGTGTGTGTGAGAGACAGAATGAGATGAGCAAAACCAAACATACTGTTAGAATTGTTGGAGTCACAAAAGCCCAGCAGAGTCTCCAGAATCGGTTTGGCTGGAAACCAATCATCATTTCAATGTCCTCGCAAAACCTCTGCAGACCTGTAGAAAAAAAGAAGAAAAAAAGAGAAGAGAAATAAAATAAAAGAAGAGACATTGGAGAAAATGAGAAAGAACAGACACAGACAGTGACCTGGGTTTAATAAGGTCCCTTAAAAAAAGACCAGTAAATTCAATCTATCCTTATGACTGTGTGTGTGTGTGTGTGTGTGTGTGTGTGTGTGTGTGTGTGTGTGTGGGTGGGTGAGCGAGGGAGAGAGTATCAGTTTCTGTCGTCCCTGAGAAAAAGCGAGGGAGCAGATGGCTTCATTCCTCTGCCTTTATTGACGGATAACAGTGAGTGACATGAAGAGGCAGAGTCACACAATCATTTCAATATGTCACCTGTACTGATGCTCTGACAAACTGGAGGAGAGCTGTTTGCTTTGCTCCTTGGTAACAGTCTTCTAACACACAAACCTGAGCTCTCTGCCTGTACGTTTGACTGTTACAATACATTACAAGAGAGACACCTAGTGGTCATAGTTGGAATTACATTTTGTACACAGAAAGGGAAGTGAGAAATCCTACTTGAGGAACTTCCAGGTGATGTTTTACCCATGTAAGCATTGTATTGAAATTGCAGCAGCTGCTTCGATGAGCTTACATGTGAGTTAAAGATCATATAAATTTTGCAAATGTTTTTATTTCAGAATAAAAAAGGATCTTCAAAACAGCATTCAAAGCCTCATGGGAAGACAATGCACTAGCCATAGAGAGGGCTATGCAGCCTGTGTCTTCTGTGGCTCTGGGGGAGCTGTGTCAAGTCTGGGAAAATTACTCGAGTCATATGATTCGGGTGTCTTGATTTTGGGCTTGAAGAGAAAGCCTGCACCACAAACTCGGGATGTGGAGGCATTTACTAGGCAAAGAATTTAATTCAGCTGCAAAAGGTCCAGTGTTTTTGGAGCCTGATCCATACATGAGACTAAAAGTCAGGATATACAATCCTTGATGGCCCACACCTTGCCAACTGGTAGAATTTCTGGAGCGCATAAAAACAAATGCTTCTGATAAAAATAAAGAATTTGTCTTTTAAACAGAAATATTTTCCTGTAGCTATGTTCATTGCTCTCATGCTCTTCAGAGAAATTAAGTAACTTAACACCCTCTAACAATCTTGTCTTTGCTGATCCACAGTGGTTTCTCACTTGGTGCACTGACCTACAAGTGTACTCCAGGACGCTGTGGCATCACTGTTAAATGTGGTTAAAACTTCTGACCACATCCATCAGCGATGCTGGGTGCGAGGTCAAAACGCCTTTGAAAGTTTCAACCAGAGAGGGCAGTGAATCATTTGAGCCGTAAACCTTTTGATTTTTGTAACCTTCCCTCTAATGTCACCCTCAACATTACAGCCTCTAGTGGCTTCTTGCAGGGTTTAAAACCATCGGTTGTGTTGATCAAAGGTCAGATAAAGATAAAACAAGATCAGCTATACTTACCATAGAGGTAGGAAATCCCCACCAGCTCAAAGATAGCAATGATGACCAAAGAGTAGGAGGCTGCGAACGTGTCCACCAACTGCAGCATGAACATCCCACTCTGTTACAAACACACACAAATAAAATAAATAAAAAATACATCTTAAAATGACGTCAATCTCCCCTGTTCCCTCCCTTTTTTCTACCTCTGACTTGTCCATGGACATAACTTTCACATTCAGATCATAAGAAATGACATGAATGTATGAATTCTACTTAAGGCTGTGTTTTGCCCTTAGAAGCTGTCGGGGGGAGTTTTAATAAGATTCGGGCTCTCTTGTTCCACTCACTGAGCCTGTCCTCTGAAGGCTGTGACTTCGCTTTACATGCAGAAATCTGTCGGCTTATTCAAAGAAAGAGTCGCAGGACGCCGGGTAGAATGCTCAAGTGGCCTCATGGTGTGGCATCTGTGTGTACATTGATGTGCGTTTTCTGTCCGTGTCGTACCTCTGTGATCATGGGAAATCCCAGGATGAAGAAGCAGGCGCAACAGACTAGGGTGAAGATCGGTTTGTGCTTCCTCAAATATTTGGGGAACTCGTCTGACACAGAGGTTACGATGGTCTCAATGGTGGCAAACTGGGATAGAGAAAAATGTAAAGAAGGGGGACAGAAGAGGGGATAAGGGAGGAGAAAGTCAATTGTTCCTGTTTAATCACAAGACATTGCTCAAATTCGTTGATCCATGAATTCAGTTAAATTTTGTTTAACTTTTTTCTTAACAAAATCTGTTTTAAAAGGAAGTTTTAGGCTAACACATGTACAGAATTAATTTATCTATTAAATTATCTGTGTGCAGCAGCGTTTCAACTGAAAAGCCTCCAGTCAGCAGGTTTACCTCATTTGAATCAGAGCAGCTGGTGCTGTCAGAATTCAGTATCCATTGTTGTGCAGCGTGAGTTAAGTGTGTGCATTCGTCTTCAATTCATCTTATGAACACATTTTTAAACTGTAATTTCATTTATTTTAAAAAAAAACAAAAAAAACATTATTCTAATCCTGAGCAGGGGAAGATTTGTAAACAAATCAGTATTAAGAATTTAGATTACAATGCAGACAACTGACAGGTGGAGTCTGTCTGGAGATTAGCAAATCTAAAAGTAACATGATGGCAAAAGGGGTTCAAAACCCAGAGGACAGCAGTGGATGAATATACAAACAGGCAAATTGAGAGAGGTTGGTATAGTGTGTGTACTGTAGAAACACATTGGCACCAAGCTATCTGCCACTTCTCAACTCCTCTCCTTCCTCCTGAGCTCCCAAAACTAATTTCCCGTCAACATCCCAAGCCTATTACTGCCGAGCTGCTTTCTACAACAAAGCCAGCAGCCCTCTCCTTGGAGCCGCCGCTGCCAAGGCTAAGTAACATCATCATTTACCGTTACTGTTGACTTGTGTCTTAATGCGCCACTGTGCCCTCTGCTCCTCTGCTCGGCTAAGGAGCATTGCAGTGCACTTGAAGGAATTGGTGTTTATGCTGGAATATGTTTGCCCAGGATTGTATCTAGAGGTGCTGTGGAATTTGAAAATATCCCAGAGACTGAAGTGTTTGTTCAGTGAAGTTACATCAGGAATGAATCAGTGCAGTAACTGACACAATTAGAGTTTTGTAACTTAGAAGTGTAGTGGTACATAGGTTGTACTGAAAAGGAATCACTTTAAGATACATTAGTTGATTTGTTTGGCTCCAATTTGGTCTCTGGTCTTTCAGCTGCTAAATGCTCCACGTTTGTCATTAGATAATAGCTAGCTTTGTCTGTTTGTTAGTTGGTTCAATGTTTGTTAGTGCACAGTGGGTTTATTAGAGCTTATTTGGTGAATAAAGCCTGCAGGCTTCTGAAAACAAGTGTTGATGAGAGAATTGTTGTGACAAAACCAACAACAAATTACCTGCAAGACACTAAAACACTCAGTGTGGTGATAATTCACTATGGGTTTCTCACTATGATCAAAACCTTTCATGCTCATTTAATCCACTGTTGATATAAATAGATTGATTATTGCAGATTTAAACATTTGTAAAATGGTGGTTTTCAATATTATTTATATTTTAGCAAAATAATTAAGTAAGTAATGAAGTGGTTGGTGCTGTTAGAGATATTTAACTGTTGGAAATGGTAACTCTTACATTTCTATGTAGATGGTGTACTGTCACATTCAAGACCTATTGTGGTGTTCACTATATTTTATTCTGAATTCTGGGTTTCTCACCTTTAGTTTTGCTCCATATCCCATTTCAGAAGTTTAATTAGGAATTACGATTAGCATGCTGATGAAGTCCAACATCAGCAGTTCCTGCCAATGGATTCTGAAGTGTGACATTGTAGATTTTTACAATGTTTTAATTTTAATGGATTAAAGTTAGGATAGGCAACGTTGGGGAACTGCTAGTTCACAGCTAGATTTTGAAAATATCCAACCGAAAAAATCCCACCCCTGGGTCCAAAGCCGCTCCAAACACATTTTCATGCTCAATGAGGACATAGGCAGATTTCGTACATGTCAGTAGGCAGACAGGCAGGTAGGCCAGCCAATCATTTCCTCCGGACCGAATTAAATAATTGGCCGTGCTTATTACAGTCTGCGATAGCCAGAGATACCAGACTTTTTTAAATTTTGCATCTTTTATTTAATAAAGTGATCAATTTAAAATGCTTCAAACCAACAAACTGTAAATGTTAAAGCAGGAGACACATGAATTAAACGATGAAAACAAGAAATTAAATATTAAAGTCTATAAATATTATTATTAATTGGTAAATTTAATGATCTTTTTCATTTTTTTTACTTTGTGTTTATTAGTGTATCATTTAAATGCAGATTTTATCAATCAATTCATAATAGCATTTTTTGATTCTAATAAATAAATTGATTATAATTAAACACCGTAAAAGTCTATACATTTTCTGGTGGAACACTCAAGGCTCCATACTTCACAGAAACCAATAACTGGGGCTAAAAGCCTAATTTGTTGTGATTACTTACTCAATAAAATGTCAGAAATTAGCAAATGATACTTTAAAATCTCACATTTGGAACTTGGGAGCTAGGATCAACTTGCTTAAATATAACGTACTTTAATTGTACGTAAACTTATTTTTATATATATTATACTTGTGTTTTTTTCAGTGTTATTCCAAAACTTTGAGGTCAACTTACTTTCACTCTCTCCAATCACACAGAACCCCCTCTGCTCAAGTACCCGGAGAGCTCAAGCACTTCAGCTGAAATCAGTCACAGTGGGTGGTGTGTATGGGTAATTATGTTAATTGGGTCAATGTCTCAGGCATTTTTCACATAGCTGGTTGGCATTATCAAAGTTGAGTGTTTACTTTGGAAACAAACAAAAGTCAAGAGACTCTCATTATCAACATGAAGACTGTTGAAACTTAGAGATCTTCACCAACAGAATCATACTGTTTGGCGCTGCAACCACTACAGAGACAGTGTTTTCTCACAAATAAGAATTTACAAAAATGCTTTCAGGAGAGAGCTCTGCTTATGAATACACTGGCCCACAGAGAATTATCAACAACTCAGCAACTCCACTGAGCTTTTGACTTTCTGTTTACCCATTGTTTTGGGTTTACAGCACATTTACTGAAGCAAAAAAATCCTGATAAACCCACTGTACAGTACCTACCCAGCACCAGACAACACGTAGACGAGGTTAGCAACAAGCTGGTGAAATAAGTGGAACATGCAAACACTAAAGAGCAAGAAACCAGAGCTAAAACAAGAGTGAATGTTGTACTGACATTCATCACGCAGAAAGAAACTCGACTCTAATGTGATGATAACGTTGCTCTGTGCCAGCTGGATAAATGTGGGTTGCAGGTTTGTCAAGGCGTCAGGGAGTATTTCTGTCCCAAAGTGGCCAAAAAAATCAACATTTCTTGCTCAGATTCAGATGAGAGGATTGACATTACTTCCATCTCTGTACAGATGTAGGTCCTGTAGGTGTTCAGCCAAGAACAAAGACTGACAGCAGGAGCTACCTGGTAGCCTAGCAAGCTCCATCAATAGTTAAAAAATAAATGCACTTTCCAACAACTCCAATATTGTCTTTCATGTGGTTTTATTGTTCTTGAAAGAAGACATTGTGGATTTAGGAATTGTTAGTGTTAGCACAGAAGCTATTTTATGACAAACCCAGCTGACTCGTGGGTGGATTAGTGGCTAGCTTACATCTTATAAGACACAACATGTAAATTAAAAAAGCTTTTGTGGTTGTTGTTAACTAGGCTAACAGTTTCCCTCTGCTTCCAGTCATTGTGCTACACTGAGCTAATCACTTCAGGATTCATGTGATTTTCTTCTGGTAAAAATGACAAACAAGTGTTTGCAACAATGGTCTTGAATTTTTCTGTACAAGTGTAATTCCTAAATGGCACTTATAGAAGTGCTTTTAGAAGAACCGTAAAATATCCTTGCTCTGGACATTTTCCTCATCTTTATAATAGGACATATGAGCCACATAAGTAAAGACATAAAACAGTAAACAAATACACACATTTAAAGAACAGTGGTTACCATAGTATCTAGGCCGAGAGTCAGAAGCATGAGGAAGAAGATGATCGCCCAGAAAGGAGACAGGGGAAGTCTGGTCAGAGCCTCTGGATACACCACAAACGCTATGCCTGGACCTGACACACACACACACACACACACACACACACACACACGTAAATGAGGATGCAAAACACACTGTCTCCACAGCAGATAAAAAGATTCAATTTGTTCAGGTGTGTTTCAGTGAGCAGTGCCGTCCTGCTGCTGCGGCCTGCTGGTGTGGTATCTTACCTTCATCGGCCACCTTCTCTATTGGCACTTTCAACTCATGTGCCATGAAACCAATGACCGAGAAGATGACAAAGCCAGCAAATATGCTGGTGGCACTGTTTGTACATGTCACAATAATAGTATCCCTGCAGGGAAAAAGAGAAAAGAGAGAAAAAAAGGCTGAATAAGCAAATATCTCCTTTAGTCAATGAAATAGTGCAGCAATATTCAAAACAGGCTACAGATGACAAACAATAAATAGTATGATAATGTTCTTTTGTTTGATACAGGACATCGCTGTCTCATGTCCACACAGATGAGATACAATGGCGCCATCTGGTGGCAGGAATACATACTACAAAGGGGTGTAGTGCTTTATATTGTAAAATGTCTCTGTTATTTTATTCAACTGGTGAAAAGAAATAACAACCGCACCTTGTAATGCGAACTAGTCCAAGAATTGTATTTTATTTTAAATTCATGCAGGGCTGTTGATGATAAGGTGTGTGTTTTATGTTGTATTGTTGTGGGGACTTTAACCTGAATGCACACAAACCCATGGAGAAATTGAGGTCCCCACAGGCAGAAACTGCTTTTGGGGGATTAAAGGTAAGAAATTTTTATCCAGTGCACATCTTTCTGTCAATTTCAGCGAATAGCTCTTCATGGTACGCTAGCTGTCCTTCTGTCTGTGTGCTGAAAAAAAATCTGGGGTTTGTCCACAGCCCTGGCTCTGTAAATGGGAAACAAACAAACAAAACAAAACAACTCCACCATACAACCCTATTCCAGCTTTCCAGCCATAATTTGCGTGTCAGGTAACGTTAAATGAATTGCCCACAGAAATTCAGCTTACTTTTTAGTTTGCCAAAACATGCTGCTTTTGTGATGTTAGCTGTTTTAGTAGATTAGTTGTGAGTATTGCTGTCTGGAGCTGGTGTGTTGGCTCTGACACCATTCTTTCCTTTCTGCATGTTGGGTTTGCATCATCAACTGTATCTACAGTTTGCTAACCCACAACTTGCTGTGTCATTGTTCACTCTTTCTTCACACCTTTAAGAAGTGATTTTAGGGTTCACGTTACATCTGGGTTTAGGTTAGGGAATCCATTATGTCAGTGAGATGTCCCTACGGGGATACTGGAACAAACGTGTGTTTGTGTGTGTGTGTGATATTATTATTATTATTATATACACACAGTGAAAAGTGGACTTTTGTTTTTACATGTAGAAACAACTCAACAACAAGCTCTTCTCAGATATTTTATTTGCTGAGTTGTGTTTGCATGAAAAAAAAACAATTTCTACAAACCACAAAAGATTACAATGTTCTTTAAATGTATTAAAATGCAGCATATGAAAAAAAACTGATTTCATGATACAATAGCCCAGATGTTTTTTGCATCCCTGTGTTTCCAATAGAAATACCTTCATATGTTTTGAACTTGGTGAGAATGTGCTAAATATATCTATATTATATATTAAACACAGGGGGATGCTTTAAGTGAGAGTAAAACAAAAGAAAGACTAAACTGCTGGCTACATAAGTGCCATTTATTATTGACATTTCTATCAGACATACAGATACAGTGTCATGTGTCTATGGTGACAGTTTGAATTTGTCTGCCAGAAGCATGGTTTACCTTTTGTGTGTTTACCTGTAGCAGTTATTGTGGAACTTATTGTAGGAAGACAGAGTAATGAGGCCTCCCCAAGCAGCCGACAGAGAAAAGAAGATCTGAGTGGCTGCGTCTTTCCACACCTGAAAAAGGTTGAGAGAAAGAGCTGAATGTAAGGACAAACAGGGCAAAACACTTCACGGTTGAATTAAACAAGTGGGCATCAGGTACCTTTGCATCATTCAGTTTCTCCCACTTCGGTGTGATAAAGTAGAGGATGCCGTCGAAGGCACCGGGGAGGGTCACTCCTCTGATCAGCAGGATGACGAGCACCACATATGGAAATGTGGCTGTGAAATACACCACCTGAGAAGATAAACGACAAAATAAGATGAAACGAGAAAGAGAAAATAGAAAATATGTGATGTGAAAGCAATACACTTCTCAAAAGGATAAAAGTCTTCTTCAGAATCGGTTTACTTATTGACACTGACTTATTTTTATTTCTACCCACCTGTAATGTATGCCATACTGATTTTACTTTTTTACATTTACTCTTTTTTCAGTCATTGTACCTAAACCTAAACTTAATCTAACTATGACAAAAATACCGTACACAGACTGAAAATTAAGTTTCTTGATTATTTCTTGTATGTAAGATGATTAAACCAAAGAGCAACTTTGTAATAAAAGGAACAATAAAGTATCTATTATCCTTCTCACAGTGATGGTGACTTCCAGGTTTGATTTTCCTGCAGTCCTTAATACACCCAGTAAGAGTTGTCAAAGCCTTTCTGCAGCTGCATTACAATGTAGTAAGAAACCCCTGACACACACAGCACCCTTAAAATTAAATTTAAAAAATCTAATAAACAGGCCAAATGTTTCAGAAAATACTCCCACAAATCTATTGGTGCAGTCTAAATAGTCTAAAGATTAACTCTGGCAACTGAGGTCTCTTGGTGTTGCTTGTGTAAGTCACATCTATGTCCAGTAGAGAGCGACATTATACAAGAATTCAACTGGAATAATCTCTAAATCCTAGCTGAAATCAGGAGCATGCAAAATGTTTCCTTCTGCATGTTGTTTCTCCTGAATCAATGGAGGAAAGTAGATTCCCAAAATGCCCAGAAGAAACATGTTTACCAAAGTTTCAATTTTGAGAGACACAGGGACAAAAATGTAATCCAGTGTTCTCCTTTTCTCTTCCCTTCCAGCAAAAGTAAAAAAAAAAAAAAAAAAAGAAGAAGATTGCATTGCATCCAGCATGAAGTGTATCCAACAATCCACTGCATTGCAAAATTGCCTTGGTTAGACACCGTGGGTGTGCTAAGGCAAGAATTACTGCCCTCAGATGTTAAATTAAATTCAATCAAATTCAATTTTATTTATATAACGCCAAATCACAACAACAGTTATCTCAGATGAATGAAATGAAAGGTTTGTTAATGATCTGCTTTCAATGCTTGGTAATTTAAAAAGGGGAGGAGCTAAAGCATATTTAATTGCGGCAACAGTAGGGTTGGAGTCTCTAATCAGTTTTTGAATCTGAATCCAGAATTAAGTTTCTTAATATTTATTCTATAGGCGCATCTCAAATAATTTAAATTTCCTGGAAAAGTTAATTTTCTTCTGTAATTAAAAAAGTGAAACTTTAATATATTCTACAATAATTAAATATAGGGATTTCAAGACTCTTTTGTTTTATTTTTGATGATAATGACTTACAGCTCATAGAAATCAAAACTATAGTATCTCAAAATGTATTAGAATTTTAGAATAAAGAATTTGTAATACAGAAATGTCGGCCTGAGAAGAGCACTAATCAGCTAATTAACTCAAAACACCTGCAAAGGTTTTCTGAGCCCTAAATCTCTCAATCTTGATCTGGTGTTTACAGTGAACTTTTCCATGACATTCTATTTTTTTTTTTTTAAATGGACCTGTATATAAAAGATCAAATTATAATATTAATGAATCTGAGCATTTTACTAACTTACAGGCAGATCCTAAATGCACTATGAGAACCTAACCCAAGGCAACAAGGGTTTTGGAACATGAGGGCTCACTTCTTGTATATTGCACATTTCATCACTAGGGGGCACTTTCATAAATGAAGGGAAGATAAGACATTGTGCTAATATAAAATTTAAGGCATCCACAGCTTTTTATCTACAGCTGGTCAAAGGTGAAGATCAGTGGATTTAAATTGTTTGTGTGTTTTGTTACCTTTCCGGATGACTTGATTCCTTTGGCTAAAGAGGCGTAGACGATGAGCCAGGCCAGGAGCAGACAGCCTGCCAGAGGCCAGCGGATATCTCCTGGATATTCAATTCCTTTGGAGATGTGCAACACATTGTACCTGCAGGTGTGATTCAAACAGCAAAACTCAGCCTGATAACAAATCTCAATAAATTAAAACATAATGCAACATAGATCAAATATCATTCTGTAGCCTGCAAATTTGTCATTTTATCAAGTCACTTATGTATATTATTAAGTCAGGCATTCATTCTGTTAGTGAGTAAGTCTGCCAGGGTGGTAGGATTATTTCAATGAGTTCCAACACAAATCAATTTGATTCAAGAATTTACACATAATCAGGTCTCATTTTTCTTCATTCTTTTACAGAGTGTTGCCTTGTTCTGTCTGACTGCTACCCATTTATTGAATGCACCGGTAGAACTTTTACACAATACCAGATTTGTTTTAAGAAAAGAAAATTTGTAGGACATTTTTGCAAAACATTGGCAGGTGAAACTGTTGTCAAACTCTAGTTGTAGTGTTAGCTTAGTTTTGGTCTTCTACTACTACTTTACATTTCTAGACCAAATATTTAGAAATACAGTTCTGTTAAATTCTTTCAAAAGTAAATGTGTAAATTTAAAACAAGTAAAAATCATTATACCTAAGTAACTAAAGAACTATAATCACTATGGCCAAATCTATGGTGTTTGTGCCTGTAAATTGCAGTTTCCAGATTATTTTGAAGGCCCTAGAAAGCCAAACGTCTGCATGAGAAGAGTAACTGAAAAAATATCTTAGATAAAAAGATTTTATCTTTCATGTGTGGACACTAAAACAGTGTAGGTTCACAGGCACTATGAAAAATAGACCTGTTAACCAAACTGTAGAGGTCTAATTTTTGTTTCTATTAAATTTAAATTTGATTTTAGATTGCTGTTTTTCATCAGCCAGAAGCTGCACTCACTTGAAGTACTCCTCACTGGGGCTGACGTAGGTTTTGTTGCCATCCACAGTCATGTTTAACAGTTTCGTCAGGTTTCCCACAGTGTTGGCGGACAGACAGAATGTGGAGTTCTTGATGGAGGTGATGTTTCTGTCCCGCAGGATGCACGAGTCTGTTCCAATCAGAAACCAACACACGTCAACTGGGAGAGACTGGGAGAGTGCTGCTGTGGCACAGAGCTTGCTGCCTGCTCAGCTTTTCACGATGAAAGTAAAGTGGAAGCGAACAGATGGATCTAATTTGGAGAAAGGAGGACTGACAGGAGGCTGATCTAGAGACCACAGTCTGGATCCTCAGTGAGAAGTGAACCCAGCTGTGTTAGATTTAGATTTTTGTTCTTTTTGATATATAGCCAGATATGAATAACAGAAATGATTGTACAGAATCTCCTCCTCATTTCAGATACATTTGGAAAGGAATTATAAGAAAACCTGTTTTGCTTTTGACTGCTCATTTTTTCATGAATCACATCAGAAAATGCACATACAAAATTGCCTTTTCTGTTTTTTTTTATGTGACTTTCTTTTTAAATTACTGCTTGTAATACTTACAAAAATGGAGAATAACTTTGCATTTTATCTTTTACAAAACAAAGACTCAACCTCTCAGAGGTGAGACAAAGAGAGCTTTCTGTAACTAAATGGGATGAAACCCCCCCACAAACCAATGAATCTAATACTAACAAAATATGGATCTAGAACTGTCACCTCGATCAGCGTCTTTTTGACAAAAAACTGTGAAAATTATAAACTCCTGACAATATTTATTATTTTTTGCAGGGCTATAGTATCAGATTGTAAAGTTGTTTATATTAGTTTGTTCAATCCACAAAATGTGAATGATGTGAACATATTCATACATTTACTTTTTATCATATTGTATATAAAACACTGTTTTATTTTTTTATATTCTTATTTTAAATATTTGTGTATATGTTCTGTGTAGTGTGAAGGGAGCTACATTTCACTGTGCGGCCCCATGTTGTAGAAAGACAAAATAAAGGCACCTTGTAACTTATAATACGGGTTACATAAAGCATTACTTTATGATTCATTTGATCATACTTTTAAGTTACCTTGTAATGGTTTTGCTGTCATTAAGAGTAGTTCTTATTTCCAATATTTTTTCTTCACCCAATCAGTTATTTTCCTCATTTATGAGACTGAGAGAGTGGGAGAGAGACTACAGCGTTGAATAAACATGTAGTTCGTGTATCAGCCAGCAGGGGTCAGTCTCGGGCTCACTGCAGCACTGCAGCAGCTCAACCAGTACAGTAAATTTGTCAAGCAAGCATTTTTTTGTGCTGAATTCACACATTCGCTAAAGGCAAATATTACGCGAAATAAACAGGATTTCGATATTTATTCGACGCAGATCGACATCAAACACCTCCGTGTCCCTGCCCGCATATTTTCCCACAGTCAAACGTGATTTTATCTACAGTTTCATTAAAAAGCTGACCAAGACAGACTGCTTTAGCTGTATACTGCAGCTTTAAAGCACAAAAACTGCTATAATCTGACACGATCATACAAAAGAAGAATCGAAAATATATTCAATGTTTGTTTCTAATTTTGATCTGTCACACTGAGGCCCTCCCTATATTACTGGCATGCATCATTAAAAATGGGTCAAATAGATAAAGTGAAGTGCTCTGAATTTAAAGTGTTTTTGAGAGTGAAAACACCGCAGAGATCACAGGTCAGGATTCATTATACTGCAGGACACCTCAGCTGAGGGAGTCATGACGCATTGCGCATTGTGGAGAGAGAGGTGATTTCGGTGTGAGTGTGTGTGTACGTGTGTGTACGTGTGTGAAGGTGTGTGTCTTACCTAACAGCAGCATGTCTTTGTCCTTACATTCCACCGTGTTCCACTCATTCCTACAGTTAGCCCATGGCAGTGAGCCCTTCAACGAAGCGAACAGGTAGTACAGTGTCCAGCACATTATAATATTATAGTATATGGCTATCAAGACAGATATTATCAACATGGCAATCCCGCAACCTAAAATAAATAAATGAGACGAAATATATAAATTACTCTTAAGAAAAGTAAAGAACTCGTGAAGATAAGAAATGAGCTTAATATTTGAATTTTCCTTCACTTGATTAGTTGTGGCAGTTTACCTTGCAGAGCTGGGATGCATTTCCACACTGACACGGGCCCCTGGCTGGCAAACTGGCCAAGGGACACCTCCAGCAGAAAGATTGGGATCCCGGCAATGCCCAACATTGTCAGGTAGGGGATTAGAAAAGCTCCTGCAAGGAAATGAAACACCAGGCAACAGAGCGCGGTTTAAGAGCCAGAAAAGCCTGAAAGGAACATTAACACTTGATAAAAAAAATAAAATAAAAATTAAGATGCATGTAGCCTGTTCATGTCTGCGTCTCATCTGCTGGTATTTAAACAACACACAGTACGTTTATTAATGAATAAAAATCATCCATTATATGTAAATGGATTCGAGAATAGCTGAACAAATTAATAACAGGCTAATCATAATCTAATGGACTATTGTTACTGTGGATATTAATAGTTAATTATCAACGGTGGCAGCTTTCAATAAAATAAATACATTATTTTAGTGCTTTTTTTCGTTCTCTTCTTCCTTTTTCTTTTTTTTCCAGTAAAAACAATCACTGAACACACTCTCAACTCTATAAGCTAGGATATTTTGTTATCTATCTTTTTTGTTTGTGCAGTACTTTTCGTCTGGTTAAAGGCCTTCAATAACTGACACTGGACGAAACATCTCAATAGAAGCAATAAGAAATAATTCAATCCTTGATTCGATTTGCTGAACTGATTTTTCGTTTGTTTCTGTGTCTGCAATTAAAACCACTGACCCAGAACTCTTACCTCCACCATTTTGGAAGGCAAGATAAGGGAACCTCCACACGTTCCCCAGTCCCACCGCATAGCCAACCATAGACAGAATAAAATCCAGTTTGTTGGACCAGTTTCCTCTGGCCTTATTCTCATCTCCCTCTTCATCATCATCGTCTGCCTACGAGGAAAAAAAAAAAACATTCATTCATTCTCTAAAATAAAAAATGCACCCTGGTCCCACTAAACTCCAAACTAGGGTACCATTAGAATAATAATAATACAAGCACCGAGGCTGGGCCTGACAGGGTATTCGCCTAATAACGGGGAAAATATGAACAAGCAAAATATTGTATTCAGTCAACAACCACCAACAAAATGTTCACCCTTTATTACTAACAGAAAGAAACCTTGAAATATTTTCTTCATATAAAAATACAAAGGAACCCTATGAGATAATACAACATGTTTTGGAGTGCAATTGTCCTTTTGCGCCGTAAATATTACTAGATTACTCTTTCGTGTTAATTTCGTTCCAGATGCGTTTAACTATCACTATCAGTTCAGCACCAGCTTTGCAATGACGAGCATGTATATAAAACGCGTCTTCATCTGCACTTATGGGCCCATTATTGCCACCAGATTACTTGAAATTATATCTCAAATCTAAAATGGAAAGATAAAAAAAACTTGCGAATGGCCCACTAATGAAATGTGAGCAAATGCTAACAAACATGCGTAATCACAGCTGCATTGCAGGATCTGAGCAAATTCATAAAAGAAACTGCATGGAAATTCAGCTATAGGCTAACCAACACCATGCATGGGAATGTGTGTGTGTGTGTGTGTGTGTGTGTGCGCGCGCGCGCGAGGGGTGGGGGTTCCCTCGCGGGGATTGGAAACAATCCGCAGTCTCCTGTAATACAGTGCTTTCTATCAGCCAGAAAACACTTGGGCTTCTGGGCCAAGTGTGCCTGCTCGGAGCAATGAACGCCGAAATACCGCGAGAGTATGATTTAATCCACTAATCGTGTTACCATTGCAACGGTGAGCAAAAACCAAGCACAACAAATCACCAGAAATAATTTGATTAAAGACAAATAGTTTCTTTCGGGACTTACATTCTCTGCACTGCAACGGAACTGATAATTTGTTACATTGACACACAGATGATGCCTCCGTTTTGTTTCCCTGATATTTGGCGGACATAGGCTAAGCAGGTTTTAAAGTTTTGAGATTGGTGCATAGGGAGCAGCTGCGCAGAGCATGAACGCCAAATGGCTCAGGATCCACCCAAAGTCTTTACAAGAAGAATTCAGCCTTTGGGCTTTGAGTAGCCTCGCCTACCAGATTTGTACCCATGTTGGTCTACAGCACAATTTATATAGCCACATTAATTCAGCAGCCTATGCATAAAGGTAAATTAACTACTGTCATGCGGCTTTGTGGAAATCTTAATGTACCCGAATCACAGCATGGAAGAAAACGACTCACTTAGGCCGCTATCTTTTCGTACTTTTTAATAACAAATATTTTCAAATCATCCCGATAATGAGCGATCGTTTTAGGCTTTGTCAAGACCCAACCTAATGATTGCTCTTTTTTAGTTAATGATCCGCCTGTCAAGCCACAAGCACCCACTGATGTAGTTCGGAAGTGGGTGAGAGTTGACACTTTCTACAACTGAGCACTTTTTAAGCACATCTGACAAAAACACAAACCAGTGCCTGCAAAATCACATTTTACGGGATAGCCTCCACATTACAGCTCACCATCACAGATGTTTCCCTTTCACCCTATCACACAACAACACTGATCTACTAAAGCTCTACATGGCGATAAGAGCTCCCAGGGGTTTTCACCTTCCCCTTTAGGAGGCAGCAGGTTAATCCAGCCAGCTTTCTTTATCAGAGACACACGGATACATCCACACCGCACCTGCTTCCAGCCGCTCTCCATTGAGAAAGGAAACGGTTCATTTGGCTGACTTACCCCCGTCACGGTGCCGGGCTGAACAGACGTGTTCCCATCTGTTCCCAGTATGATGGTGGTCTGGCTCATAGCCGTCCAGTTGCTCGCGGTGTTGTTCTGCTCTGCGGTGGACAGGAGCGGGTCGCCGTACTGGGCGGACCCCCCGCGGGCAGAACCGGCGGAATCCTTCCGGAAGGCCGAGTTAACGGCCATTGATCCAGGGACCGTAGGAGCGTTGCTTTTAAACGTCCCATACGCTTTACTGGTGTCCAGTTCTCCCGGTTTATTTTCCGTGGGACAAAAAGTTTTGCTCTCGTTGCACGGCGGAGGTGGCTGAGGCGCTGGGTGATGGTGAGACGCGTGCGGCGGGCACACAGCCGCGTTGTCCGGTTTGTTTGTTGTAAGTCCGGCAGCTCCGTCGGGCTGCGGCACCGGGATGTAGCCGGTAGGAGCGCTGGCCGGCTGTTTGGCCATGTCTCTCGGGTCAGAGAAATCCTGAAACATGAGTGACAGATCAGCAAGACGAAAGGTAGAACGGTATAAGGCGTGAAGCTATGAGACTGCTGCAGCCCATCTCTGATTTGGGACAAAAAATACTCAGTTCTCTTTCTGCAACGTTTTTCTGCAGCATGTTCTGGCTCTGGCTGCTCTGTAGTTTCAGCTCACAGCCTGCCGAGTGTGTTGGTGTGTTTATGTATGAGTGTGTGTTGGAGGGAGGGGGTAAGCTTTGCTTCTCCAGTTCTCGCTTTCTGCAAGATTCTTTAATTTTACGCCCCATTTCCCCCCTCATGTCATTCAGCCACACACATCCACTGATTTTTATGGGCAATAGACAAGCTGCTGTGGGACTCTCGGTAGCTCTGCTCTCCCCGGCAGGCATGCAAGATCACCGGCGTTACAGCAGTGAGCGGACCCGCGGCGACAGAATTACAGATGAATCCCTGAAATTTAGCTTCGATGGGGTCGGGAAAGCAACCGGATAAGCCTCTAGATTCTAAAAAAAGGTGTGGGGGGTTATTATTATTATTTTTAACAGTTAATATATTAATGCTGAGTTGGGTTTTTAACTAGTGAGAAAAAATATAACTGCGCCCGACTGTAATGTAATGTTTAATCAAAATTTAAAGGAAAAGAGGTACGATGGACTATAATTAAACTTTTCTCAATCTAAACTTTTAAAAAGACAGATAACAGGCTTTTACATGAGAAAAACAGGCGGACTGGATGTAAAATGAAGTGAAGAAAGTTTTTCAGCTGCATTTCAGCACCATGGACAGTGCAAGTAGGCCTACCTCAACGTGCCAACTGCTTTTAAAAAGTGTTAAATTAACATGTCAGAACAATTCAACAAGACAGACGAAATTGCAGGTGGAAAAGTAAAGAAAGTGTTTTCGGACACTTACCATTTTGTGCAGATGTCTGCTGGCAGGGTGGAAATGCTGTAGCAGCTGTAAATAGACGAAGAGAGGACTGGAAGCGGACTGGTTGTAGCCGCGCAAAACACCAAGTGCAAAAGCTTTTCTATAGCTCCGTGGGAAAGACCGGAGTTTGCGTCAGTGCAGAGCAAGGTGCCCTTCGCTTGACATTTTCTTGATAATAGGAGTTTGATAAATCATTGGCCTTGGATTCGGATTTTTAAAGGGACAACCGGAGCCAAGACGAAGGGGGCGCGTATATGCGTGCATGAATTGTGTGCGTTCTGGTTACGCAACGTGCATGCGTGAGCGCTGGACTGACTCTTTCAAAGCTGATTAATATACTTGTCTCTGGGGATGTGTAGGATGCTTACACACAGACACAGCATGGATCCATCCCACACTCGCACATACAACTCGTTTGGGATAAAGATTTCACAATTTTAGGTTATTATTAGAGAAGATCTACTGTGTACATGCGGTTCTAAATAATGTTTGCATTTGACAATATCATTTTTGAGTTTAAAGAATAACCTTGTTCTTTTCCGTCTTCATTTAGGCCTGCGAAATGCAGAAGCTATAACAAAGGGCAAATTAGTTTGTGTTTATTTAAGTTATATCAACGACAAGGATGTAAATATTATTATACATAGACTATACCATAGCCTACATGAATGCAAGTTTGTGAAGTTGCAGACTTGTAAAGAATGTGTGCTAAAAAAAAGTCTGAACTATAAATAGTTTTTCCACTTGGCAGGTTTTACGCACGGCGCTCCAGGCTCTATACGTTCCTTCGTGCGTCACCGATAGGAGCTTTGATCAAGAAAAAAAAAAAGTCGGCAAGGTCTTTATAAAGCTACTCATTTGTTAAAGTCTTACGCAAGAAGGAGGCCTCTTTTTTCTTAAATCACGTGTTACAGGAGAAACCGGAGCCAACCACTGGAGCCAGGACTGGAAGCAGTGACAGCGGAGGAGGAAAAAGGTGTCATAGTACTGGAGATTCTAAAACACTGCATTGCGCATACCAAAGTCTCCCTTTATGTCCCGTGTGTGGTGATTTATTCAAAAGCTAACAAGACGCAAACGATTTTTTTTGTCCCATCAATTAAGGAGAAGTTGTTCATTAGCCTATAAACAGTTTAGGCATCAGCCTATAGGCTATTTAGGCCTCCATACGGACCATAACAGTGGAGGAGCGTAAAACAAAACACACAAGTAGGCTATTTTTGCTTAATAAAGCGAAACAGCTCATTGTAGCTACATTGGACGCTAATCTCAGACGTGACAGCCCAAATATAAATGTGTTAAGGAAAATGACCAGTCAGGCGTGTGCGTCGTTGCTTAGCAACCACGTTGTAGCTTTTGTTCGAGAACAGGCGATAGAGATAGGCGGGACATAAGGCAGACAGGCCTTTAGAAATAGCCTAGGCCTAATAATCAGGCTATAATAATAAAAATAATAATGACCTTTTGCACGGCGGAATGTGTACATTTCAATAAAATATAACCTTTAGCCTATTTAATGGATGTTTTCATATGAATTAGCCAAAAACATTAACTGTTCAACCATAGGCCTACACGGCAGGATAGGCTAATTTCTTAACTTTAAAGAGCTACACTATCATTATAAAATATTTGTCTAGCCTAGCCCATATTTTAACGCATTCCCCCCGAACGAATAACTTCACATGCCTGTTTTAATAAACTAAAGAAGTAAAATCATTCTTAATCTAAATCCTTTTCTAGGTTCATTAAAATAATGTGGCCAATGCGGTTTTCAACTGTTTTTAACCTGTGCTAATTTCAGACAGCTGAGCAGGTTTGAGGCTGTCTCCCTGGGATCAGTTTGGTTACACCGGGACGCTCGGGCCGTTCACTATGCACACTGCGTTCCCTCCGCTTGTAAATCTCAGTTCCTTCCAGATAAGAGCGTGTGTATTAGACACCGCCTTGAGTTTAATTACATTGTCAACAGAGAATAATTGTAATTGATTTCTGCTCGTCTTCCAGAGTGTGAACACATGGGCTGCCAGTGTGCGCGCGCGCACACACACACACACACACACACACACACACACACACACACCATGCTAACACATCTAGTTTGTTTCTGATGAAGCTTTTCAACGTTTCATTTCAGGAAATGTTTAATTCGGGGAAGTAGCTGATGTGATTTGCAGAGCCTTAACCCGCAAAGTAAAAACCACGGGTGTCGCAGGAACCTTTAGATCCGTGTGACAAAGACTCTACAGCCCAATGAGCGGAGAGATGTCCACAAGAGAGGTCTAGGGAGAGACCTGAAAGAGGTTCTACTGGTATCTTGATTTTTGTTTCCCACTTTTAATCATTTTACAAAACAATGGGCTCCTTGTGATTTTAAAGAACCACCTTCACAAACTGAAAATCATTTTTTCCATCTGTGTTTAGGCTTAATTTTAACTCGACTATCTTTGGCTTCTCAAGTTTGAGCGTTTATTTGGACCAGACTAAGTCCTGATGTCTGAGCTGAACTAATCAACTCGCAGAGGGCTTTCTGGGTGTCTCCTCGTGCTCGTTAATTACATGAGCTCGTGTAATTAATTGATCACTCCCACTGTCGCCTGAGTGATAAGAAGCCGCATTCATCTGAAACGCCTGGAAAGCAGTGATTCAGCGGAGGAGGTCATCGAGAGGCCCACGACTCCCATCACCATCACCATCATCATCAGCCCTGGCTGACGGAGCCTTCACACTTTACAATTAGAGTTCGGGCAATGTGTGCACCTGCCACTCAGTTAAAATTTTTGAATAGCGCCTCTCCCGTTCAAGCAATTATTTAATTTTAAACACGAATATGAAGCAAGCTCTTAGCTAGTTAACGTGACAATTTGGTTGTCAAAAGGAGTAAAGAGCCAAAACGGGCCACCATAAAGAAATACCTTTAATAAATGTGGTGTCGATCTGGTGCGTAGCCTACTACTGTATCTAAACCTGTCCGGAAAATATAAACAAAGTTAAACAAAATGCTGACAATATTCTGACTTTTTATATAATAAATAAGAATAATTTCCCTTATGAACACGCTATGACACGAAGTGAGATTACAAAATCGACTACTTATGAAAATGGACAGCATCTTGAAGTCTAGCCTATATTATTTCACTGAGCCTCAGGAAATGAGAGACTGTGAAACAATATGTGCATTCATTATTCTAAACAAACATTGAGAGACTTATTAAAATAGCCTACCTTGGCAGTTATATCAGAGGACACATCAACACAGGGGTGTAGGAGCGACTTTGAACCTGGGGGGACGCTGAAATGCTGGGGGGGGGGGTGTAAAAGCGCTTTGAGTGGTTGCAAAGACTAGAAAGGACAGATCACTTAGCCTATACAAAATAACCATTATAGAAGGAACTTATAATATGACCAAGTACAAGTACCCATATGAGAACGTTCTGATTATGTCCTGTTTGCAACTTTGCTATGTGATCATAAAATAGCCATTATGGAACGTCCCCCTAAAGTCATATGAGGAACTTGAACTGCAGCACTTTCATTACCAAAAGAGGACGTTTTAGGAACGTCTCTAATGTTCTGTAAAGGTTTGGGAATGTTCGGTTAGAGAACGTGTAGGGAATGTTATGCATTGGTCGCGAGAATATTTGCAATATCACGACTATTTTAACACGCCGTGATACCAAAATGTGCGACCTATCAGATTCTGCGACCTAAATGGGAAGTTAAGAGCCATGCAGGCTGCTTTCCAACACGGCCATCGGTGGCATGGAGTGAGCTCACTGGATTTCAGTTGAACAATAAAGCTGAAAAGGTATTTGCCTGTTTTCTAAATGTTTGAATCTGCCTAGCTCATTCATATCTGTGACAAGAGCCCGAGATCAAAGCTCTTCTGCGTAATTGCGCACACAGCTTGGCGGCAGCTCATTTCGGTGTCTGAAGCAGAATGCAGATTACAGACTGGTTAAGAAATAAAGATATGAATGGAAAATGTAGGGAAATTAAAAGTAGAGTAGGCTACTGGCCCAAAGAAAATAATGGAGTAAAGAGTAAAAATACAGTTATAAAAAGTTGCAAAGACTTTTAAAAGTTTATTTTCCAAATTTGTAACACGTTACTACTCATTTTTGCAGCAGGAATCATCACTGCTGTCTATAAGTAACAGCAGCACAAATGAAAAGTCTGTAATATTGAGGGACTTTGCTGCACCTGCCAAGAGACCTCTTTTTTTCTCCCTCAACCTTTCAGCATCATCCTTGCGTTGTGTCGCATGTTTCCTATCCATGATTTTTGTCAGACTTTTTAACCGTTTAATTATGTCTGACGCGGAGAGTGTGATTCATTGACTAGTCACTCATACTAAAACGCCTCGGCTATGAGCCAACTCCAAAATCGCCGGAGGCAGGCAGGCAGGCAATGCGAAATAAAATTTTACAGGCATACCAGAAAATGGCAAACGGAATAGTGCTGCAGGAATTCAGCATGTAAGGCATTCAAAAAGTCTGTAAATTCATCTAACCTATCCAGGTGCAACGTCAGGTAAAAATTAAAAAGACAGTCCAGTCCAGTGGATTGTTCCCTTTCAATCCAACATTTAAAAACATGCACACATCTTTGTCTGCACAGGACAACCCGTTTGTCTGACCATTTGCCCTACTTGATGTCAGCACACAGATCAGACTATTAATATAATGGCATTTATTTATGTTGACTGTCAACTGTATGTTTGTCTACTGTAGCACCTTATCACCACAGCAAATTCCTTGTATGTGTAAAACACTACTTGGCAATAAAACTCCTTCTGAGAGGACACAGAAGCAGTACAGAAGAGGTGACTGTCAAATTACCAGCCCCCACAGTCTACTCCTCCTACTCACAGATGACTACATGTTCCCAGGATTCATCATCTCAGGCAGAGAAGGAAGGAAAAATCTTTAATTGTAAGCAGAGCTGCTCGGTGAAGTATGTAAAGAGGCTTCAGTAAGCCTTTTTAAAGCTTAAATTCATTTCGCATTGTCCCAGTAAACTCATGGAAGATGGATGATGCCCCCGATGAGATCTCAGGCAGCTCAAAGTAGGACAATAAGGAGCAGAATACTGAGAAAAATTAAGAGAAATATCTACAGAAAATCTCTGTCAGCAAGTTTCTCTTCTTTCCTTTTTTGGATATGTTGATCAGGCAGAGATGCATCAACTCCCAGTAAGTTATTATGGTTATTCGCAGGCCATTTAAGGTTAAAACTCGGCTAAACTGAATTTGAAAGATTTTCAGACATCTAGGTTACATATAACGGTTCTTTCATCAGCATTTATACAACTGCATTTCAACATGTAGTGGGAAAAACGCTTCACACTAAAATAGTGACATTGGAATGTCCTTGACACAAGGATTATAAACGTAACCTTGACATCTAAAATCTTTCCTTTTCAACCAAATTTAGCCATTTGACCTGCAAGTCACCAAACCAATGCTTACTGGTGGTCTATTATCATATGCTTAATAAAACTCACTCACAAGGAGAAAATCTTGTATAACATCATGGTTTTTATTAGAAGGCACAGAAACAATTCTAACATTTGAAATATCAAAATGAAGCCTTTAATTCTATCCTGTGTCAGCAAGTTGAGAATAAAAACACGGGCTGGATGTTTTACCATGTGCTGACACTATTGCAAGCTGTAAGTCTGCTTCCTGTCTCGGAGGTCAAAGGTGACCAACAGTGAGCGAGGGTCCTTCTTATTTTTGCATACTGTGATCTTTCCCTGGAGCTCCTCACCTGAAGAAAAGAGCAAGCAGAGAGAAAAATATCAATACAGAATTTTGTTCACACTGGAGCCCCTCCCTCTGCCTTTGTGTTTGAAGTTGTGATTGTGATTGAAACCACCTGGTGTAAAGTTTAGTTGCAGTGAAAATCTGGTGTGCTGAAAAGTGAACATTTATGCTCTGTGTCAAAAGGTTTACAAAAGGTGAGGAACCACAAAGAGCAGGAAAAAAAATCTTCTGAACAGTAGAGGTAGGCCTCTGCAAATAATTAAGGAATTGAAATTGAACTGAAAATACTGTATACCATACAAAGACATATTGTAGCTGTTTTCATGTCAACAATCATTAAACTTGCTTTCTGTACAGTACGTACATACAGTATATTCCAACACCTTCTAAAGAAAATCTGTAGAAATACATTTATTTTTTTAGCTGACACTTTAATCCTTTAAAAGCGACTTACAATTTCTATATAAATCAGAGGTCGCACGCCTCTGGAACAACTACGGCTTAAGTGTCTTGCTCAGGGACACATTGGTGGACGCGTCACAGTGGGGAATTGAACCCGGGTCTCTCACACCAAAAGTGTGGGTTTTATCCACTGCCCCATCACCACCCCTTATACCCAACAACTCATTATTTGTCAAACTAAAAGGTCATAGAGCCATGCTACATCACTAAAGGGTGTTATTTTATTATTCTACATTTTCCTTCTTGTCAACAGATTGCATGAAAAGTCTGTCTTGGCCACTCAGCCCCAAGTCTGACGTAGTGTTGTATTACTCAAGAGACCGGTCTTAAGACCACTTTTTGATGGTCTTGGTCTTGTGTCGGACTCGGCCGCATTTGTACTCGGTCTTGTCTCGGTCTCGGACATTGAGGACTCGGGATTTTATTTCAAGACCAGTCAAGACCATAACTTTGGGAATATCAATACATTGCTTTTGCATCGTCTGATTTATTTGTTAACATCCTAACTTTGATTGGATTTAAAACCCTAATTAAAATGTGTTGTTACCGTTACTGACTGTGTTTGTATGTGGCTGCTTTAATAGGAATGTGGATCTTTCAGATCAATTTGAGAAGTACCTATGATCTCATTCCACTTTTTATTGTGTGTCATGTAATGTGGGGAACTGGTCTCGGTCTTGACTCGGTCTCGCCCTCCCTCAGTCTTGGTCTCGATTTGGTCTCAGCCCCTAAAAGTCTTGGTCTTGTCTCGGTCTCGATAAACCCTGGTCTTGTTCTTGACTTGGTCTCGGTTTGTGCGGTCTTGACTACAACACTAGTCTGACGGTTCCCATTGAAATGATTAAAAATGGGTCAGAAGTATCTAGTTTCATTTTTTAAAATGGGCTCACTACTATCTTAAAACAGCTGTGCACTAAGTAGAACAGCCGCTGGGTACTATTTTCAGCTGCAGATTAATACACATGCGGTGCACTAATGAGTACTTACAAAAGCAGGAAGGTGTGTGTGGGATTGACTCAAAATAAACTACAGTGTCTGCTCATGGTAATGACTGAACATGTCACCCAAAGCAACAGGGTGGCTCATTGATGTCGCAAGATTTACAAAATGTTTATTTTCTCATATTGGAAATCCGTTTTTTTGGAATGTATATCTGTGTAAAGTTATAATGTATAAGTAACGTTTGCTCCTGTGCACTATTTTATTTATTATTTTATCACAACAGGTTGTTTAACATCAAGTGGGTGGATTTTGTTTTTGTTCACCTCAGAGAAAGATTTGATTTCCCTTTGATAACCAAAAGTATATATCATGACCTGAGCATCTATGCCTTTAAATTGTACAAAAAAAAGATGAACATCAAAAGGAAGAAAACCATTTTCACTCAGTCATTAACCAGTGTGTTCATAATAAAAGAGAAATGATTAACTGCTCCTAAAATGAAATCTTCCTAACAGCAGTACAATGCTGCTGAGCTCAGGCCTCTGCAGTGTGAGCGGAGACACACTGGCGCTTATAGAAATAATGATGTGTGTAAAGGCAATGTGGTCCAATGTTTAATAGTAAGCAAGTGCGGGTATGAATGCAGACCCGTTGAAATCTCCAGATGGCAGCGAGAAGGAAGTGGATTTACAGTACGACGCACGAGCGAACGGCAGGCCGGGAGAAGAGGCTGATGATTATGATGCATAATCACTCTGATTAACTTCACGTTTGACTGCTGGAGGTAAATGAATGTTTATTCACACGGCAAACAAGCCCCCCCTACACCTCCTCTCTGTGCCACACGCTCTTCATCGCTGGAGGTTAGAGGAGGACGAGTAGAGAAAATGCTGACTGTGAGGCTTTCTCCAGGGAAGTGTCCGCCACCACTGCTGTCACGTCCCACCCGTTACCATGACAACGCCGCTGTCACTGAGTCTTTGCTACTGGCGCCGCACTCTGGGTCTGCCACTCCACTGCAGAGAGGGCACTGTGGGTGCATATCCAAAAGCAGAAACCAGAGTGAAACAAATGAACGAGAGCTAAACTCTGCTATTCTAAAACAACATCAGTAACAGTTCAGATTTGGGTGCTGAATATAAAGTCCTTTTCTTAGTGAAGTGTTAGCTGAGGAAAGTGTACAACAGCCTATTTAACATTTATTAATAACGAAAGTTTCAAAATAACACATAAAGCCAACAACTCTCAAGATTCAGCGCATACTACTCTGCAATCCTACGTGCACTAAATCTCAAGAACAGCAAAAAAAAATATACCAGGTAAAAAAACACCAATATTGTAATAGCTTACATATTCCATATATTCTGATTCTGGTTTAGTCTGTAGCATAGCAGAAATGATTACTATGTTGGGTAATTGTTTGTTTTATGCTCTTTGTCTTATGCCCTAAATTGCACAAACTATGCACACAAGGAAATGCTGGTCAGACAGGTTGTTCTCAAGCCTCAGCCTCAGCCCCATTAGTCCTTATTCTGGAGTATGGAACTTTTAAGCGACCTGACATTTACATTATTCATTCAGTTGACACTTTTAAACGACCGTATGAATGACTTTTCAAGATCAGTAGAAGAAAGTAATGGCTGTTTTTTTGGTGTATTTTTTAATAAATGCTGAAAGCATGATAATTTGATAATCAAAGTTAAAGTCCTGATCAAACAGAACGGTTAGATTTTTGGCTTTCTATAACAACTAGCAAAGTACTGCCTGAGCTTCAGATAGAAATGTTGAAAGGTGGGAGAAAGATGCTGTCTGCCCCCACTCCAACACCAACAATACAAAGATTATCCGAAAAACAAACTAGCTTTGCTTTGGCTTATTTAATAGGAAATTACACACGGAGCATCGATTTCTGGTAACAGCAGCAGAGCCTGGTACTCATGGGAGGCGGCGGGCAGCAGCAGTTAAACTCAAGTTGGCAAAAGGCCGATAAATGTCAAAGGAATAATTGCTTGACCTTTGGTGGCCTTCTGTAAAAACACAACTGAAAGGGGGAAAAAAGCGTAGGACCAAAGACTTCTGCCTAAAAAATAACTTTGCAGAAAACTGTTCAACTTATCCCTCATGTTTCACATTAAAGTATTGAAACATACAAACAGAACCACCAACCGAATGTCTGTTCAGTTGTGATGCGACTACATCAGCACTGCTGTAATCAGTCAGACCAAACTCCCGATGGAAGAGGGCCTCTGTGCCTTCAGTAAACTGGCCACTCAGATGCTGGGAGAAAGAGTTAACCATGTGTGGAAATGAGTCGGGCAATGGAGCAGCGATGTCGTACATCAACATGCCAGTGTCATTAAGCACAACCAGGCCCACAGTAACAGCCCCTCACAGCCCAACACAGCATTTACCCATGAAATTACACTGGAAATACACGGCTCGCATTGGTGATTCAAATAAACTGTTGGAATTTACATTTTACCTATTTAGCTCACACTACTACCGTATCTGCAACCCCATACAGTGAGGGCAAGAGTAGACTGAGCTGAAGCACTTCAATGTTAAGGATCGTTTACTGATTTTCACAGAAAAATACCACGACGTCAACGGAGTAGGTAGGTTTAAAAAAATTTTTACCTGGACTTTATGACCCCATGAAAGAGGAATGATTGATTTCACGTGAAGTAAATTTACTAAACATGGGTTAGTACTAATCAGCCTGCACCAGTGGTAGGTGCGCCAGAGTTGAATCAGCCTGATGCTGTTGCATTTAACAATTCAGTGAAGTGTCTCAAAATGTGTAAGGACAATAAATGGGAGGAGAGAGGGGTGTTTTTGGTGTCAATTAGCAAATTGAAAGAGCTGAGAGACCTTCAGAAAACAAAGTTCAGTTATAAAGCTCTTCGGGATCTGTTATCTAAATACCTAAAACATTCTGATGAGACACAGGATGCACGACTGTCATAAAAAAGGCCAAATTAAACAGGTGACTTCCACTTCAGCCCCATCCCCTGACACTGCATATCTTTGACATACTCCCTCTTGCTACAATCTACTTTCATTAACTCCATTTTTACTTTCCTATTCAGTGCAGAGATAAGAAACAGAGCTGATGGGTTGTTTATCCAAAGCACCAGTCTATAGACACAAAATCAGCCCGAATGTTGAATTACAGCCCTGAAGAACTTGAAGCTTGGCTCGGCTCGGCCACTGTTGTTAGACAGTTCAAGGACCCTCAGAGTTCAAAAGACGGGGGGGGTGGGGTGGGGTGTTTAAACTGAGCCTGGACAGTTGAGGGTGGGGGAAGGAGATTTGAAAGAGCTACAGCACTACTCAGGACAGAGGAGGTGAGTCATGAAAGTGGGTGGGAACAAAGACCACCTGACCATCCAACGAAAGAACAAACGCCCATGCTTCAGCTGCTCTGAGTGGTCCTCAGGGCAGGTAACCAGGCCACCGCCTCACCTCAAGGATCATGGGACTTTCTTGGAAAAAATAAAAACAAAAACATGTGACCTCCTTTCTCCGCGAACATTAAGTAGGTAAAACTGTGAAAAAAAGGATCCTCCTCTTCAATACTCGAGCTACACAAACACACCAGAGCATGACAAATGATTCGCTGTTTAATTTATTACGCTGCCAGCCGGGAGGATTTGCAGGGATGTTTTGTTCCAGCCTGCTGCGTGCCTTCTCTCTCTTCTGCCAGCGCCTCCCACAGAAGCGCAGCCTCAGAGTTAATTACTGCTGCACTCGTACAAACACATCAAATAGGATTCAGTCTCCGGCTCGATAAATCACCACAGACAGAGTCGGTATTAAAACAAACCACTGGATGTTTGTGCATGGCCCTCACTACGGCCTATCAGAGCTGAAGGTGCTTCTCAGTCAACACCCAGGAGGAGAGGCCACTGTGTGTGTATGTGTGTAAGACAGAGTTTTGTCATCTTCAAGGTGACTTTAGGAAGTTTTCTCCTATAACCAGAGGGGAGTTTAGTACAGAAGTACTCTTGTGAATTTAAGTGTGTAAGGAAGCAGTGTGTGTGTGCATGCGTGTGTGTGTGTGTTGTAAAGTACACTAAAAGGAGCCTTGCAGGAAGCCAGAGAATGCTGTTAAAACTCAATTTCTGGTTTACGGCCCCTGGAGGAGGCTGGGGACCGTCAGGGTGCCGGGGTGGAGCGAGCACATCAATAACCTGCAGCTCACTTACTCCCGCCTCATTTTGTTCTTCCTTTAAACTTGTACTCCTCATACTGCTTGGTTCCCAGACTGATGGATCGTTATAGCCTCGACATCAGCTTAAACTAGACTCAGCTAGATCTGGAGAACATAACTGGCTGGTTCTGAGCTCAGGCTGTGAAAATGTGTGTGTGTGTGTGTGTGTGTGTGTGTGTGTGTGTCTTGGCTAATGCTGGAACATGTCACAATGCCCCCGAGGAACCCCAAGAACCCAGATGCTGTGCTGACTGTAAAATCAGGCGCAAGGTTAAAAAAAGACAGAGAGAGATCGAGCAGGAGAAAGAGAGAGAGAGTGTGAAAGAAACAACTGTTTTCAGTTTTGTGTGTTGCATTAACAATTTCTTAGACAGCCTTTGATACATTTCAACAGACGTGCATCTGCATCAGCCCAAGAAATAAAATAAAATAGTATAGTCTAACAGACTAAAGTCCAGTGGCTAAAAGAGATGGCCAAGTTCCTTACCACCCTCCCCAACACAACATGCCAATCTACCTGTTGATTAAGAAATATTCACCCATCCATCTATCCATTATCTTTACCCACTTAACCAATAGAGGGCTGCTTAGAGCAGGAGCTTATGGTAGCACTCATTGAGCAAGAGGTGGAGTACACCTTGACAGGTCACCAGCCTTTCAATTTTCACACCTAATGGCAATTTAGTGTTTCCAATTCACCAAACCTGAATGTCTCTGGAGTGTGGGAGAAAACGAGAGCACTCAAAGGAAGCCGGTGGATTTGAACCTTTGACAATCTGGCATTAAAGTGGAGCTAAGGGAAGGTTCAAAATGGAAAGGATTCATCTTCTTGGGAGCATTACTGAGCTTGGCAAATTTCATGGAAATCTCTAGATGAAATTTTAATATTTCTTGTGTTTAAAAAGAAATTTTGGCCGGATGGCATGAGAGAAAGGTTCTGTGGGGTCACGAAAGCAGGATGACCATGAACACTGACCGCAAATGTAATGAAATCCAGTCTTTACTTTTCTGGATATCTTGTCATTGATTACAGAGGCATTTCAGCCTGGTGGTGGTTAACAGGTTAAATAAGAATACAGTTTAATGTCTAGTTTATCTAATGGTAGGTGACAAAGAATAAAAACCTCAGTATGGTGTTGATCTCCTACAAGCTGCTACAGCTTCAATACTTCTTGTCACAAATCCTCAAAATCTTTGAAACTCCACTGGAGGAATGAACGCCATTCTTATGTAAGGTATTTATTTATTTGGTGTCATGATGATGGTGGTAGAGAGGGTTTTCTAGCACACTGGTCCAGAATTGCCCATAGGTGCTCAACTTGCTTGGAGATTGGTTGCTGTGAAGGCCATAGCACATGATTCACTTAATTTTCATCAAACCATTCAGTGCACCCTGGTGCCCTGTATGGAAGCATCTGCTTCACTGCATCTGAGTTTCTCCACTTGTTTACTTGATTTGTCACTTATCTGTATACATATGCATTGTGCTTGTGTGCATGTACACAAACGCATACAAAAACACTCAGGTTTAAGTAAAATAAAACAGGGACCAGAGGCTGACAATCTGCACCAGATAATCAAACAAAATCCATCTCGGTTTCACTCTGCTGTTTCCCACTTCTGTACTGTGTTAGCATACTGTTGTCTTCAGCTCTCAGATTCAGCTGTGTTTATCTGACCCAGCAGAGCGCAAAGCCTGCGATAGCGTTTGAGCAGCGTCAGAGGTTTTGACGTTCTTATCTTTCTGGCTGCCGCCGGCAGGAGCTGAGCCTAGCTAAGGGCCCCCTGACATCTAGCACCTCCTTCTCTCCGCAGGTCATTTATTACAGTCGACTCCATCTAATATCTGGTCAGCGAGTGGACAGCCAGCCCAGAAGCTCATCCATCCTCACATCAACAGACACATCCACGATTTCTCATTATGATAAAGAGCACAGAGGCCAGAGTTTATAGCAGTAATAAACAGAGGAGATTTCACACAACATACAGAATGACTGTGCATGTAGGGAACACCAAAAAGTAACGATTATACATTTTTTGGCATGACCAAATGTTCATAACACTAGTACCGCTAACATGTGAGATTTATCCTGTATTAAGTAAATTAACATTTACCACCCAGGCTCAGAAAGGTCCTTCCTGGGATACATCCTCAGGCACACATTAAGTAATGTATTTATGTTTCCGTGTTCTTTGGAATAAACAAAATAACTGCATAGTGAGTATAAGAAGCAACACCATGGCTGAACAGATGACAAGATAAGATGCTGATGTGGCTTTTTATTTTGCCTCCTATTTTTGCTTTTGTTAGTTAGGTTTCCCATTAAAGTGAGACTATGTAAGTTCTGCTAGCAGGAAAACAGTAGCACAAGAAGTACTGCCAGTTACACAGTTGTATCTATCAAAAGTTTGCTAACATGAGCCATTTTATTGCTTATGACAAGTGGAATTAACTTCCACTAAGAGGACAACTTTGCAGTTTCTTCAATTAAAGGTTGCATAGTATCAATTTAACATAAAGTCCAATGTGTTGGACTTCAACTACAGAACCTAATTTGTAAATGTACCTACTGTACTTGAACAGACACAGTTAAGTATGTCAATATCAGAACAAGGAGTTCTGCTTATTGTAATATTTGAACAGGCAGAGCTGTAGAACATACTTGTTTTATGCGAGTTTGGTACGTTTGGCTAATAGGTTGATTGATTTGGTTGGGTTTACCTGTCTGGATGGCAATGTCACTGCTGTCTGACTGAAACACTACAGTAAAAAATATATTCATGTTCAAGTTGCCACGTTCACGGCAGGTCGAAGACATTTTTGCAAGAGAAAGTTACCTACAGAAAGTTATTTCAGAGAACATCGATGCAGCTATGTCTCACAGCAAGCTGCATCATTTAGTAAGACTTTAATCTCTTGATACAGTGATTCTATAAATATTTCACTGGTCAGTTACAAAGCGCTCTTCTTGTAACGTGTCATGATTCAAAAGCCTGCAACTGGCTATCAGATGAAGTTTTACATGCTGTCTCAGATGGCTGAATGTGATTTGTTTTGATCCCTCGCTGTCTCTGTGGGTGACAGATAACGGGTGTCAACCAGCCTGACTACATCTTCACCACAGACAGATTACCTGCTGCTGCTCACTATGGCGCTGAGGTTCACAAGAGGAAAATAAAATCATGAAAGAAAGTAAACACATACAACACAAACCTAAATGTAACACAAACAAAGTGAACTTATAAACTCTTCTTGGCTTAGGAAAATGTACGTGAGAGTTAACAAAAGTACAAAATCTTAAATACAAAACATACAGTGTTGCAGAGTATGTAGCAGTGTGGTGGTATGTGTAATTACTGACCTGCTAGGACAGAGACAGGCCTCTCCAGAAGGAAAACAGTCTGTTTCCAGTGTGTTTTTGTGACCTGAGGACCCGTGGAGAACATCACCTGGTGTGATGAGACATGAAAAAAATCACAATACCAGTGTTGTTAATTTGCTCTAATAAGCTAGGAGCACCTTGTCATGTTGTAGCATTACTACTTCTTATATTTCAGTAAAAATCTATGAAAACCTAAAGTAATCTTAATTTGAGCCTATGGGAAACCTAACTGCTCTGTATTTATGAAGCAAACAGATAATCCCATGTTAAATTGTTCCAGCCGTAGCTCCTAGTGGAGATGGAAATTTACTGGACCATACATGGCATGCAGTTTGAGTCTCAGGTACAATGGGAAGTGCAATCAAAAGGCAGGTCTGTGTTGCTCACAGAGCTGTTCCAACTGGCTGGCTCTGCTGGGTAAGTGCTTATATCAGCAGTTGGCTAGGACGCCCGTCGATCGGCAGCAAACGCCTCGAGGAGGAGGAACACGCTAAAGCGTGAACATAATTGAGTTTCCGTTAAATGGCTTGGCTGTTGCCGCTGCTGCTTACCTTGTTGCTGCAGCCTTTGTCAAAGAAAATGTCAAAGTAGCCGACAATTGCCTGCAATGAAATATGAGGGGTGTGTTAGAATGTGACAGTACAATAAACCCCTAGATTTGTTTGACTACACTGCAACTATGACATGCAGAGCTGAGAGAGAGGCAGGAAGGAGACGAGGTTTTAATGAGCAAAATAAGCTAAATGAGGTGCAGTGTTTCAGAATAAGGCAGTAAAAACACAAAATTTACAGTTAAAATATTTACAGTTACCTTTGCTGTATTCAGAATTCAGATTATTTTGCTTGCCATGCTTGCAATGTCATTGTTGTGTGTGTGTGTGTGTGTGTGTGTGTGTATGGTCTGGAGGACTGTATTGGCCACTCTGTTACAGATAAGGGGTATAAATATGACTCATGTGAGAACTGCATTTCATTCAACCCTGTTTCCTCTCAAAACTAACTTGGTTTTCGTTTAAGCTGAGTCAACAGCTCCCATGTGCTCCATCTCACCTCATCTGGGAGACTTGTCACTGGACAAAAGAAATAAATTATGAGGCAGCCGCCAACAACATTGAGGCAATTATGCTGACAATAAAAAAAAAACAGCTTGGTTCATAAAATTAGCAAAGGTGGATATTTTGGTGACAGCATTGCAGCAATGTGAAAACACTGGATATAAGGAATCTAATGTGGTTTTGATCCAACTGAATATGAATGTGTGTTCATCTGAATAATGCCCACCAGGGGAAAGGAAATTAGACAATTGACAAATCTCTGCTCTCAGGGAATCCATTATGATGTTGATAATACTTATAGAACATAGTAGGCAGTTTAAGCTTCATCAAGGGTTCTGTCTGTCTTTGATGTGACCAGAAATGACAGACTTCTTTTCTTTCAGATTTGTTTTTCAATTTACTAAAAGCCTGCACGGAAATGCAGTCTTTATTTTCTGCTGGTAAGGATTTACAAAGCTATGAACACAACTGAGTGAAAACCAATTCACACATCTAAGACAAACTGAGGAAAGGTCCAGGGCCAGAGTGCCTGTAGGTGACTGTTGTCAGATATGTGAGGTAAAAACCACCCCCCAGGCTTGTTTTCCTGCCATTTCTCCCCCCACTGGAGAAAGAGAGGCACTCTATCAATCTCAGGCGCACACTTGTAGTGGCAATGATGCAGAACTAATAGCTTTTAATCCTGACACAGCTGACAACTTGGAGGCCAGCTCTTAGAGACAAAGAAGAGCCAAATCAATGCAAGAGAGGGAAAGAGGAAAACAGAAGGACAGAAGAGGAGAAAGGAGGAAAGAGAGAGAGGTAAAGACAGAAAGACAGACAGAAGGAAGACATAGACAAAGCTGATGGGGAGCGAATGAGTAGGAGAGGGAGAGTGGGTGTAACATAATGCAAAAGGTTTCTTTTTTTATATGGTTTGGTATTTGTTTGTTTCACTTGGAGAGGCTAAATACAGTACCATCTGCTCACAGCTCTGTAAAAGTCTCCCAAATTGTATTTAGCAAAGAAATTTGCAATTAAAACTGGCTAAGATATATATATATATATTTTTTTTTTTTACAATGCATCCATATAGAGTACACACAGAGATACATACATGCAGACATGATAATCATGATGCCGGCAGAAGCTGTGTTCAACACACTCCCCGTAACAAGGCTTCAATCAACCTTTATCAACTAAGACAGGCAGGGGCAGCACCACTAGCTCACAGCTAAACCACCAGAAAAGAAACCAAAGTGGATAAAAGAGCATGTCAACCCAATGCAATTATGTTTTTTAATGAACGCTACAGAGACGCTCAGTGCTGAGGTAATTAGGAAATTAGCCATAATTACTCGTCAGGCAGAGCGGATTCACCTCTCTCAGCCGGAGAGGCAGAGATCATCCTCATCGCGCCTCGCTGATGACAACGCCTCGTAAGCGAGATTGATTGTCACTTCTGCGTTGTGCAACTTTCACACTGCAGCGAGACGGGCAATTAAAATGTAGGCCACAGAGTAAAACTTACAAATACAAAAAAAGTGGAACAGCATGGCGCCTCGCTGCCCCATTAAAATCACATTTGAAAGAATAAAAAAGTAATGTAACGGTCTCATGCAGAAAACATGAAAGATGTGAAAGTGTTAAGATAAGCAATAAAGACCTTGATGACTCACACCTGATTCGGACTATCCCAAGCCTAGCTGATCACTGGCTTTTAATACTTTTTGATTTAAACTGGGCTGGTGGAAGATAGTTTATCAAACACCTTGGGCCCTTTCAAAGGATTTAAAGATAGCTTTTATGACACCAAATAAAATGGGATAGCAAGATTCAAACTTCCAGATGGGGACTGAAAAGTGCAAAATTAGTTTCTGTCTATGTTCATCTGAGACTATCTTTAAATGATAAGATTTCAAATACCTTTCAAAACGTATTGCTGCCGTATATTGTTCTTGTAGGGACAGATGATAAATATCCTTAAAGCAGCATTGATTGATTTTTGGCTGCTATGGAGTAGAAAAACATCAAAACACAACCTTCAACATATTACAGCTTATAATCACTTCTCTATTTACATATAGACAAATGTGCTGTATAACCAAAACAATGAGCTAAAAGAGGCAAGGTGAGGCAGAGTTTGTGATAATTTTCTGATTTCACAAATATGATTAATTTATGATAATTCTAACAACCCTCTACTATTATGTTGTATCTGGCAACTTTTGTAATCCTTGACGGATCAAAGCCTCTTTATCCCAGCACATGGGCAAGAAGGGAGGCAAGTTAAGGATGCAAGAGAGACAGACAGAGAGAGAGAGGAAAGGACAAGGAAAATAAAGGGTCAGCTTTAAACATCGAGACACATATGCACACCCATAGACCAAAAACAGGACGAATCAGAATGTGCGCTTTTCATTTTCATCAACGTTTAGCCTTGGGCCCCGGCTCTGTCTGTGATAAGTGATGACAGTGGGCTCCATGACGGCCCACGGAGGAGGCTCCGCAACACTGCATCTCTCTGGCCCTCATTCTCTGGGAAGAGCAGGGGGGGGAAAATTAATAATTATCATCATGGATAACACCAACAGGGAGCAATTCATCATCGCTCCCCTTTCGCCCGGCTGTGTGTCAGCGAGCTGCGTGGCTCGGCCAGATACTATTATACGATGGTGGGGGGACGTAGGGAGGAGGGTTAACGGCAGGGAAAGGGAGGGGCACTGAGGGGGAGGGAGGGAGGGGAGGGGCACTGAGGGGGAGGGAGGGAGGGGGTGGGAGAAAAGAGGGCTAATGCACTTTTGATGGGGTTTATCCAGGCGTGGAGGCTTCAAGCACGACCACCTCACGGGCGGGTTGGTGTGAATTCCCCCCCTCCATCTCCTCCATCTCTCCTCTCATCCTCTCCACCGGACTGCTGCCACTCCAGAGAGGTGGAGCACGAATCAGCCTAGGCTGCAGCACAACTCCAGTCAGTATTCCTCACTCATGATGCCTCTCAGACAAAAACAAACAACTGTACCTGTGACAGATTCATGCTGTGCAAAACGGACTGTTGTTAGATGCGTCACTGAGCTTTGTTCATGTAATCGCAATGAACAAAAAAACTGAACACAGTTAAGTTTAAGGTGGGAGATGGTAGAGGCAGCATTTGCAACAAAAATGTGTGGTTATTTACATATACACACACATTTCAGTTTTGTCAAGCAAGGTGTTATTCTCATTTTAAGACTATTGATCACAAAAACCTTCTACTCACCTCTGATGTCCAGATTTGGGAAACTCTGGCATCAGGACAAGATGCATACATCTCCTACAGCTTTTCCAAGAAACTTAATTTCAATTCAGATCATCTCAAATGCTTGCCTTTGAAAGATAACAAAAGTAAACACACACAAAGCAGAACTTCTGCAGCAGATCCACTTTATGTCAACTTGCCAGTTGACTACCTGCAGTATTGATGAGCGCACTCTGGTTTGTTTATGTTAGTGTGAAGCTGCGGCTTGTTTTTGATTTAGCTTGCTTGGATAAAGCTAAACAAGTAGTAGCAAATGCAGGAAGATGGCTTGTGTCTGCAAGTTTCCAAGCTGCAAAACTAAAATAACACAGTATAGAACGCAGTCTTCATCGACTGCCACTATTGATAAAGGGAAAATGACTGGCCTCCAGCAGCTATGCACCTTGCTCCCACAGTTACAGGGACTTCTGTGCACTTTCGGTTGGACATAAAGACATGTGTGTGAGATATCTGTTGCATTAAGGTTTTTTGTAAAGCCCATGCTTCTGTTGCAGACAATGCCATCCTTGGCAAAGTCTTTGTTCCCAAAATCTCTACAAAGGACTTGTTTGTTTGGTTATGTTACATGCATTTAATTTTAGATCCAGTTTAGTTAAATTAATATGTTTGCTTTATTTAGTATGTTATATTAAAATATTTGTTTCTCTGGTTTCTTGTTTGCTTATCCCGTATCAACAATCTTGGATGTTCAGTATACCTTTTATAAAGTTATAGAAAATAATTTTGTGTAACCACTATCGCTCTTTATGACTGTACACATTTTTCACCATGCCTTTGGACAACCTTCAGCGCGCCTGGAATTGATGCATCTGGCTCATGTTGGATAAGAGGGCGATAACAAACGAGTGGAAGTTTTTAGTTGAGATGTCAGTCAAATGTCATTCCTTGTTCAAAAGAAACATATTTTGTGACCACATGGCATGTGGTCTGTTTTTGCTGCTCTCTGTGTAGCCACCGGTCTATGTCTCTTCTGTGATGGATTTCTCTTTGTATGAATTTACTAGTAAACTAGTACAAATCCTAAAGTCGCTTAAGCTACAGTTCATCTAGTTGCCACAAGATGCTGTCTCCTAAAAAAGACTGACAATATACTTTGACTCAAATCATCCTAATTTAGAGGATTTCTCTGACTTCAAAAGCCTGGGTCTTTATTTTTTTTTATTTAGAAAGTGGACTTGACAATTAAAAGAGTACTCAGTCGTTCCAGCATTGCACTTCTATAACACTGTCAGACTCGCATGTTTTTCAGTGCAACAGAACCAAATATATA